GAAATGGAAGGAAAGTCCAACCGGCCGAACTTGGCTCCCCTATTCTTTTCGCAGCCCTTTAACTCCTGTAATTACATTCCTTCTCTAATGGAGAACAGAGCTCTCCCTGACTCCAGTTGCAATAAAGAGCTTCTGCTCCCTTGCTGTGTGTGCTTACATGTGTAGCCACAACTGCCTCTTATCCCGGAGAGAACTTCCTGTCACCTTGTCATCTCAGCTGATTCCATATGGGAAGTTGATTACAGATTGATTGCATTCATGTTTCTTTAATAACTGGTGGACTAGCCCGAGGTTCTGCTGTGAGAGGCTGATAGAGCTGGGACCAAGAACAGTCAGATTGTTGTACGGTAGTTGCACACCTGGGTTCTCCAACAACGAGGGCTCAGTCACGACTGTGGGACCCTGAATGAGCACTCGGGATGTTGGCGTTCAAGTGGATGATGCTAGTCAATCTTCCGTTTGTCATAATGATGGAGATCCCAAATGGTGTGTTTCTTATGCCTCATTGGTATCAGTGTTGTAGACTCTAATGGTTTACACCTTCAGTGTTTCATTTCTTCACATCAAACAAGCTTCATACCAATGTGAAGACGGGAATCACACTAGAGGTCAAAACAAATCAACCAAACTAAGAAGAGCTGGTCTTCGCCATTTAAGCTAGCCTGGCAAGCCATCCTATAAATATATGCCATTTAAGTCATGGTGTGTCATTTCCCTGGTGATGGGGATAATACATACCTAAATCAATGCAAGCAAGCAGTATTTTTGTGTTTGCGTAAGACCTTACCAACGGATGCCCATTAGGGTCAAAACTCACTGGGAATACAACCTCCAGCTAAATAACAAGCACATCAGACTCCCTTTCATCACTGGCAATGAGTGAAAAGGTAAATGTATAAAACAGCAACGTCCATGAATTGCGATAGTTTTGTAAGTGTTTGTTACAAACCAGTAAATGCATTTTGTCCTCACGGGCTCCCGTAGATGGAAACTTGGCGTCTAAAATGGCGTCGCCCAGAGTCTTAGACCCGCTCCCACATATTTTAGACTTGATCTTTAGAAAGAAAAGAAAGAAAACAATCTTTTATATAGCGCCTCACCCAAAAAAAAAGATAAAAAATGTGTTTAAAATGAGAAAAAATATCAACTTTATGGTTGTATGTTACAAAGCCGCCAATATTTTTCAACACCTGGGCATCATTTAATTAATTTTTTAACATTTTGATTAATATTTCCAGAGAACAATGGTCAAAAATACACATTAATAACTTGACTTCTGGTAACATAAAAAGTGGAACGACTTACAAGGCATTTGTCCTTCTAGCAACCACTGAGACGGAGACCGCAAGCTTGTGATTGGTCAGGTTGCCGCTTCCTTTAAATTCGTCAACTGCCATTGTGCCCTCAAAAACATAAAGACAGCCGAATATATCTAGCGGCAGACATGGAGAAGCTTGAAGAATGCCTCGCGGAAAAACTCTAAAAATATGAACATATATACCTGTGACTGGTGGAGTAATAAGATGCACAGCAAGTGTTTTATTTGTGGATGGGAATTACTGGAAATGTGGGTTTAGAGGTGGTGAGCGCAAGGAGAGGTGGAGGAAAATGAAGGACATATTTTTCTGTGTTAAATAGTCTCTGAAATGCAACAAACACAATGGTAAATGCGCTATCCTGGACTGGATACAAGACGGGATACCCCAGAAAAGCGTTACGCCCTCTGCTGTCTTGGCGGGGAATTGGTTTGCAACATTCCCCACGGGACAGAGAAGTCAGAGAGCAAAACGTCTCCGTCAATACGTGTTCTCCTTCATGAAGCTGACACAAAAGCATTAACTGGGCTTTACACTGAGGCTATTTGTCCGACTCAAGCAGCAAAGGATCAAGACAACAGAGTCACAAGCATTCGCCTGGGCTCACCAGATACTCGTATAAAGAGATCTGATGACTTCTGTGGGAACTAACCCCGGTCCACTGACACCAGACTAACTGTAGGCTCCTGTATTAGTACCATTTTGATACAGGTCACTTTAGGGATCCTGTCTTGGCAAGTTTATTAGTGGAAACGTTGACCAACTTGGTATTAATAAAGCAGTTTTTCACTCATTCACTACCAGCTGTTTCCTGATCAGAAAAACCCTTCACTGCCAGCGTTTTTCAGCATTTTTACAGTTTTTTTTAAGAGTCACAGAACGTTGCGCTTTAGGATGATGTCAATGCCAAAACAACCAAAATAAAGCGGAGACTCACCTCTTACATCAGGAAAAATCTGCACACTTCGAGCGTTATGCGTTCTTTTATAATCCGTTGTTGAATTGTGATCGGCAGAATGTTTTCCGGATCGCGCCTCGCTTTTTTTACAACGGCGTCCCAAAATGATCTAACACATGGATGTTCTGCTTCCTGATCACGTGACGTGTGACGTATGTGGATGAAGATCAGCTTTAGAGCTGGGATGTTTGTTCTCACGGTGCGGGGGCTCGTTCCGACGCCCACACATTAAAAAAATACAAATGACGACTTTAGTTGTCGTTGGCAGTGAATGAGTTCATGTTGATCGTGCATCAGCATTTGCTGTATTCAACTAAAATATACACACAATACATTTTTGGCCTGAAGGTTACAAAAAGTACGTCATGGAACTGTTTTTTTAATCAACAGACCTAGTCAGGGTTGGTTAAGACTTAAAAGCACCTTTTTTGTAAAGCTCTCTTTTATCATTTCTGTGTCAAGGACCCATCGTGTTGCCTTAACTTGTTCCTGTCACTCTTAAGCTCATCTTCACCTCCGCTTCCTGCAAGTCAGGAGTTCATGTTGAGCTACCAGTTGTATCCGGAAGGCAGAAATGATACTCCGACCATTAGATTGTTTGTTTTTGACTTGACAGCAGGTTGTCTCAAAAGGTGCCGTCTCATTCCTTCAGATGCCACTCACCAGGTCTCATGAATAAATGCTTTATCCACATCTACCAGCAATACCTGAACTGTATGTCCCCTTTTCCTAGAACAAAGCACTCAGTCATGACTCAGTCAAATAATCATTATGGCTCTTTAAGTGCCTGTGTGGAGAGGTGGAACCAGCAGTCATAGTTGAGGAATGTACTTCAATAAAAGTGCCTTTGAATGCTTTTTCTCCCAGAAAATGTCATAACAGCAGGTAAAAAAACAAGACATGGATAGACAGGATAAATTAGTTTTGCTGCTGCCAGTGGCAAACAGCCATCAGTGCACCTGATAGTTGAGTAAAAGGGATTTCTGGCTCTGAAGGAAATGAACCATGGCACACTGCTGCGCGGCAGACACATCAGTGTTGCTCGGAGCTGCAGTTTGTTGCTTTTTGATATCGTCTAATGTGGCATCCAGACAAACCTCTTTTTCATTTCTTAGAAAAAACACAAACAAGGACATGGGCCTCCATTTAAAAAAAATGTTAGACTACTCTTCAAATATTTGCTGTGCTTCTTGGTCAGTAGCTTAAAATTCACTTAAATGAGTTATACACTCATTACTTTAAAGAGACGCTAGGCAGTTTTGGCTTGCTTTTAGCAGCCCCTGGTGTTCGTTAGTCAAACCAAAAGTGAAGCCTAGCTCCTTGCTGTGTGTTTCTCGCTTTAACATCTTAATCTAAGTAATAAAATGTCTCCTCGACGTTCATTAGTGTCTACAGGAGTGGTTCATCACTTAATCAAACAAATCAGCTGTGTTCACGATCTAAAACACGCAGGAAATGTGCTGAAAGCAGACTCCAGCGCCAGGCATGTCAACTCCACTTTACTAAGTCCAAAAGGGACTGGACAGCTCTGCAACTCTGAAGTTGCAAATGTGACATTCTGGCCACAGGTGGGCGATGGAGGCTGAGTAGCCTTTCTTTAACCCTGTAAAGGGTCATTGAAGCACATACTTGCTCAAGAAAATGATTTAAAATATGAAAAAGTTGTGTAGTATCCCTTTAAAACATTTGCTGTGGTCTCCAGTATGAATGAATGACTTGTGAATTGTTTTCAGTGGGAAAAAGCTTGAGTTTTTCTTCATTATTATCCATGATATACCAACGTCTCTTCTCTGATTGGCTGACAGCAACACACTTTTGTTCGCTCTTCTTTCTTAAATGACACAATATAACTCAAGCCTGAAGGAGTTCTGCCGAGATGCTAATGCTAATTGTTAGCTTCTACTAGGCGAGATGTGCTCTGCTCTTTCCTGGATGCTAACTCAACAACCCCATTGTGAGCCAAGCCTAATTTTCAGTGTGACACACTGTCGATCTGTGTGGCTTTTTCTCACTCAGGCGTCTCCAGTCTATTTTCTACCAGTGACTAATGCAGGAAATAGGGGTAGAAGACCATTTTCATATTCTGCATGCATGTGAAGCTCGTGTTTCAAAAAGAACATGAATTTTATGTTTGCCAGTGAACCTCACCTTTAAAGTCCACATGCATGTAGCAGCTGTAAAACACACCGGCACAATGTTCCTCATAGGCCACCTTCTGGTGGTGGACACATCTAGAGAATGTGTATAAACTCAGGAGCTACTCTTAAATATTGAATGAACTTGCTTTCTCACTGAATCCGTGTGTTTCTGTGAGCTAAGAGTGACTTTTGAATAATTGATTCCCCTTCCTGCGATCTCCATTCATCAAAAAGAATAGCTGTGCTTCTTTGCAGCAAACGCAAAAAAAGAAAAAAAAATCTTTGAAGTTTACTCCCAAATGACTCAGCAGACATGAATGAACTCTTAATGATAATGTCTGAGCCGTCAACTTACCTGAAAGCCAGACGTTGTGTCTCCACCTGCTTCTGAGCTTCAAGGGTGAAGCCAGTGTTGTGTTTTGGGCACAGGAGAGCATCCCAGTTCCCCTTGGTTTGATCATTTTGTCCCTGCGTCTAGTTTTCCTGTACGTTCATGAATCTGAATAAAGTTGTAAACATGTGGGGTTTTGTTTTTACAATGCGAGGTACAGTATAGTAAAATATGTAGTTTTATTTTATTCTTTACAGGTATGAGATTAAGTACGACAAAGAAGACTACGTTCTGAGGGTGAAGAAAACCTCGGTTAATGACGAGGGCACCTTCACCTGTGTGGCAGAAAACCGAGTGGGCAAGCTGGAGGCCTCTGCCTCTCTCACAGTCAGAGGTACGAAACACATTTGTCCTTTTTCATTCTTTAGCTTTGGAAACTCAAACAAGTCACGGATCCCCTATCTTGCACCAACATCAGGGTTTTGTCCCCTGGGATTCTCTATACAAAGACGTTGAGACGTTGACGGCCCATGAATCTATTAAATTATTTACATCTGTAATTGCACCATCGGTGCGCTCTGTCACCACCGTTGTGGTGGCACGCTGCTGCTGCTACCCGCCACGGCGGAGCCACCCAGTCAGCAAAGCCATTTCACTGATTATTGGTGCACACCAGCACCACCACACCTGGGCTGTGCATGGTTAACACAAACGTTCCTAAAATCATTAGCATAGCATAGCATAGTTTATTTATATAGCACGTTTAAAATGCAGCATGGGAGCTGCCCAAAGTGCTGCACAGGCTAAAACAAAACACAACCATTACAAGGAGCTAAAACAAAGGATAAAAATCTCAATCAAAGGCAGATAAAACATGATGAATACTAAGAACACATTAAAACAATGATACAATAAAACACTAAAACGAGTCACTGTCTAAAAGCCGAAGTGTATTGTTATTTATCTTCCTTTCATTACACCCAAGTGTTTACTGGCCCTACGGAGCACTTTAGAGCAACAAAAGAAGCCAGAAGAAGTAGAAATGTTTTGCCCTTTTAGGAAGCTAGCTGCATCATTATAAACCAGTTGGCAGCATTAGACTTAAAGTTACCATTTCTGCTATTGGGGCCTCCTTAGTGAGAATAAGGGTTTTAGAAAAATGCACCATCACAATGTATCTTAGTGTTTTTGGCTCCTTCTGTGCTTTAATAACACCACTTAACAAAAGTCCAGACAGTACCCAACAAACATTGGTCCGACGCCGACGTGGTGTCCACATCCAAAAATGGTTGCGGTAGGATGGCCCGAATTTGTAAAAATTATAGAACATGTCTTAAAAAATCCATTCAGATACATTTGTACATGCCTACAGTTATATGTATAATTGTTATTTTGACAGTTACTTACGTGTAGTTCAACATAGCATCCCAGCAAATATTGGTCCGACGGCAACATCATGTCCACGGCCAAAAATAGCCGCGGTAGGACCCTACAAAACATTGATCTGGCGGCGACGTGGTGTCCACGGTTAAAATGGTCGCGGTAGGATGTTCCAAATTTTAAAAAAAAAGTAACATTTCCTAAAAATCCACTCAGATTTGTAGTTACATGTATAATTGTTACACTGACAATAACGGACGTATAGTTGAACACATGGCATGTCGTGAATCAGTTGTAAGGCAAAATCTACAATTTGTCACATCATAAACATCAATGGGATAGCTCAACTGGTTCGTCATCTGACTTTCACTCTAGAGAACCTGGGTTTGAGTCCAGGCTGGGATAAGTCAATCGGTAAAGCAAGGTCGGACACAGGAAGTACTATAATTATTATTAAATGTAAAAACTACATTTTATTTTACAGTGTAGATGAGATGTACACTGACGGTCATTAAACATCCTAATGAAACATGCCGAAAGACGTGTAATTCATGTCCAATAAAGACGTCGGTTCAACTTTCATTCTGGTTGAACTATTTTTCAACCATGACGGGACGTGTCGGCCCGACGTCTTTTCAACGTTGATTAAACGTCCGAATGTTTGCTGGGTGGTTTTCCCCCTAAGACCAAATCTGACCCCCTCAAAGGATGGTTTGAATGCAATTTGAAACCACAAGTGGGAGTTTGGAGCAGACAGCTTTTATCACCAACAGTCAGAGAGAAACCGATGCTTTCAGCTCATCAACAAACTGTCCAGTGGACACGGGCTACTGGATTCATTCTGTCATGCTTACACTACGCCAAAAGTCTGTTGGCTCCAGCTCAACACGTCATTCATTCTGACTTTTTTTTTTACTTTGTTGTGTTTGATTTCTCTTCTTGATTTTTTGTTTGTGTGTGTGTGTGTGTGTGTGTGTGTGTGTCTTACATTCTTGTTTTTGTTTGTTTTCTTGTGTTGTGTGTGTGTCCACTCCACCTTTGTTGTGTCTCCAGCCCGTCCTGTTGGTAAGTACCCATCGCTAAGATTTGCTCCCATCCTGCATGAGATCCCACTTCAACATTCCTGCTCTCCATGCTTGATGATTCGTTTTTATTGGTTCAGTGTTTGTGTGATTGACTAACACAAACATCCCATCCAACTTCCTTCTCTGTAAATTGTTTTCTAATCTAACAATGGTGCTCTTGTTGAAAATTGCGCAGCTTTTTTTTGTCAATAATCAAATTAAACATAAAGGTAAACATCACGTGCTTTAACTTAGTGGAACGCAGAGACAAATGACATAGGAGACACTTTATGTTCACTTGGTTTCAGTGCTAATTTCTATAGCAAAAAAATACAATTGAATCAGCAAAAAAATACAATTGAATCTGGTAAACGTTGTTCCAGCTACACCAACACAAGGTTAGAAACTCTCCGAATGATGGTTTGTTTATTTGCGAGTTTTGATGCCGACTGCTAATTGCTGGAAAACCAAACTGAGATCTTCGTTGTGTTGAACCAGCTTGTCTTTGTGATCTTTTTGCTGAACTGCATGACTCATGCCTGCGAAACTGGGTAGCGTTCGACTAGAGACAGAAACATCAGGATGGTAGACCTGTAGTCAGCCTGTTAATCAGCCTGAGTTCTTGGAAACAAAAACAAGAATAATTTTGTAACAATAAACCTGCAACATGACAAAGAATGACAGAAGTTTCTGTGGAGATGGGTTTGACTGGTGCTAAAACAGAAAGGGGAAAACAGGCCCTGCCTCGGTGGCAGGACTTTGGTTGCCAAAACACCAGTAGCTGTTCATCGGTTGTCAAACTGTCAGCTTTTTAGAAAATGGAGGAAATTACACATTCAGTCTGCCTGTGGGAAGAGACAGTAATTGCTGTCAACCTTTGAATAAAATATGATTGAATGTGGGATTTTAAAGGAGGAGGAAATTTTTGTGACTGCAAAAGCTGAGTGGATCTCTGTCTTCTTGTCCATTTGTTTTTTTCACCCTGACTGCTGTTAGATGCTGAGCCCTCTGCAAACCAGGCAGATGTGACTTGTCATGAATTAAATATGGGCCCACCTTTCTCGTGTTTCCCAGGGAGTGGACAGGAAAGAGCTTCTCATATGTCATCAAGGGTCTCAGAGTCTAAACACGGAAAGTGCGAGGTAGTCCAGAGCTAAGCTATGAAAGTCTGACACTCTGATTTCCTTTATGTCTAAAATTTAGATCTATAGTTTTCATTATTTCATTTGGGGTTTTCTTTTCAAGTTTTTGGGGGTCTCATCCGGGATCATTGTTATGTTTGTTAGTGCATTATTGAAAATATAAAGTTCACTCACGGGTTATGATTGAAGGTTTAATCAATACATTTGCAGTGGTCTCTAGTAGAGGCTGACCGATATTGGTTTTTCTATTGCCGACAATGATACAATGATACTGATTAAAAAAAAGGTCAGGGTCAGGCGATGGCCGATTTGAGGTGACGAAATGTAGACATTTTCTACCTTATTTACATGCTTAAATGTCACTAATAGCATCCGTTGATGCACAACATTTCTGAAGTTTTTGAAAACTGAAATTAACCGACCAAGTATTAAAGAGCAAGTCACCCCCTACCAGAGTCTTACTCCACTCCCACTTCCTGTTTGAAAAATGCAACAAATGCTGTTGCCTAGCAGACCGAGAGGGCAGAGCCACTAACAAATACACACACATACACACACACACACACACACACACACACACACACACACACACAGGCTCTCAACGACATTGTGACATCATATGGTACCAGCTAACGTTCTAGGGTACTTCTTAGCCAATAGCGACGGCAGATTTGAATTCAAATGCAGTGCTGAGTTTTTACCTGACAACGGCACAACACTGAAAATTAAAATTTCATTAAAATGTACTAAAGTGCAAAACTTTTGACTACACGTGTCTGCAGCACGATTAGACACATATTTATATAGTTTATCAGATAAAAAATTGATTTGGGGGTGACTTGCCCTTTAAATATTTTAAACTTACATAGGTTGTAGACCCTTTTTCAGGAAGTTGAAGTCAACTGGTAGAGAAAGTAGTTTCAGACGGCAGGATCTGAAGTATTTTTTTTTTCCTGAAAACAGCTATGCGACTCTACCACTTAGCCAGTTTTATTTGCAACGCTGATGTTTTATCAGTACAAATAACACAAGCCTGAAGGAGTACGGTTAGCTTCTACCAGCCAAGACATTCTCTGCTGTTTCCTGGACTGTTTCCAAGATGAATGTTAAGTGACAGTGTGATGTAGATCTGCCAGCCTTTTCTAATCCTAGAGTTTCTCCGTCTATCAGAAGCTAATGCAGAAGATAGGTGTAGGAGACTATTGTCATGTTCAGCCTGAGCAAAAATCTCAAAGTGACTCATTAGAGTTTTTTTCAGTGACCCGCACCTTAAAAACTGTTTCCAAGAATTTTACCCGTGAAACATTATGAAACCTAAATACAAAAAAAACCTTCGTTTCTTTTTGTTTTAATGGGAAAGAGAAAAATATTTTAATGAAGACGATGTCAAAAAGGGAAATCTTGGAAGCACATTAAAGCAATGTTTCTGAAAGGCGTGAAACCATATTTTTAGTGAGTCTTTAGTAATGTGGTGTGTAGGATGGAACAGAGAACGAAAAGGGAGGGAGCCGTGTCCTTGCCAGAGCATGATTTAGGAGCTGTGTATCAGGCCCGGCATTATGAGAGCCACAAGATATCCAAGCTGCAGAAGGCCAAACGGGAAGGCAGTAAATCTGTTACCATCTGCAGCATTCCCAACTGTGTATATCTTTGACAAATACACACCCCCCAAAAAGGGATTACATGAAGAAATCAGCCAAATGGGAAGAGACCTGAGTCTGAAACCAGCTGGCTTATTAGAGAAAAGACTTGCAGAGAACTCAGAAGAATCAGAGCGAGAGAGAGAGAGTGTGCGAAATGTTTAGTTGCAACAGTTCGCTCTTTTTGTATCTAAATATGTTAGTCTAGATGGAAAAAGCCTCTTTCACATTTTGTCTGGACATCTGAGAGGTCATGCCTGTCACCGAGGCCCCTTGATCTGGTCGTTTCTCATGGATGCTTTAATCGTGTCACCTCCTGTAACATTTCTGTCATTGTATACGTTAGTCAGGATATGTTAGTAGAGGTTAAAGGTCATGCAGCTGATTATCTTCCTTTATTAGAGACTGTGAGCTTCTGCGTTACAGTTTGGTTTCTTGGGGAGTCATTTAGAAGTGTGTTTGTGTAGAGGTCGTTAAATAAATGCTGACCTTATAATATCTTGAGTGCGTTCCTCCAGATGGCCTGTATTTGATATAGCGCTTACTAGAGTCCTGGAACCCCCCAAGGCGCTTTACACGATGTAGCCACAGCCGCCCTGGGGTGCACTGACCGAGACGTGGCCGCCGAGCACTGGCGCCACTGCTCCCTCTGACCACCACCATCAGGCAAGGTGGAGGACACGACGACAGCGACAGACTGAGCGGGGCTCGAACCTGCAACCTTCCGATTACGGGGCGAGCACTTAACTCCTGTGCCACCGTCCCACAGATATGAGGCCATTGTTCATGACTGGGAAAAGGAAGGGTCAGGAACGAAGGTTTTCCTCAAGTGGAAGTGATCAAGTATCTTGGCGTCACGTTCTTGAGTGATGGTAGAGTAGAGCGGTAGAGGAAGAAGAAGAAAATATCATTTCTATAGCGCCTCTCAAGATAAAAATCACGAGGCACTTCACAAAAACTAAAAATGTAAAAATATAAAAAAGCATTTAGAAAATGTTTAAAAAATATATTTAAAATGAGCAAAAATAGGCAATTGTGATTAAAAAATGTTAAGAAAGAGAGAGAGTGAACAGGAAAGAGGGAAATCAGTGGATCCTGAGGAAGGTGGAATAGGTGGGAGAGCAGAATAAAGAGAGAGAGGTGAAGAAGGTCATACAAAAGCCAGCTTGAACAAGTGAGTCTTCAGCTGCTTTTTAAAGGAGACCACTGAGTCCACTGGTCTCAGGCTCAGGGGCAGAGAGGTCCAGAGTCTGGGGGCCACAGCAGCAGATGATCTGTCACCTTTGACCTTTAGCCTGGTGCTGCACAACCAGTAGGCTTTGGTCACTGGACCTCAGGGACCTGCTGGGGGTGTAGGGACTAAGAAGATCACCAATGTAAGATGGTGCTTGTCCATGTAAGGCCCTATAGACCAGAACCAGGATCTTGAAATGAACCCTGAAGTTGACAGTAGTGAGTAGAGAGATCGGGGCTTCGTTTTCAGAAAGGCTGAGGTGAGGAACTCTGTCATCTGCTGGTGAAGGGGAAGAAAGAGAAAGTGTGGCCTGATTTTTTTTATCGAGACACAAGGATTGAGAGAACTGAGCCATCGTGATTCCCCACAACTCCCATAGTGGAAACACAGCTGTATTTTGCAAATTTATTGAACAGTAGCTTCAAATAATTTGAAATCTGATGATAATCCATTAAGACAAGAGATATCATTTATTTGTATGCCTTTAAGTCATGGATGGCAGATGGCATCCGTTTGCGTGTATAAAAACACATCCAGTCCCTAAATGTGAGGTTGTCCCTTTCTAACCAGCAATTAAAAATAATAACCACCCAAATCCAGTCCAGATTTACTCATACAGCACATTTATCAACGGCATGACAGCTGACCAAAGTGCTGGGCATGCAGCAAAAGGAAACGAGATGAAATAGTCAAGAGGTAAAAAATGGCCTGAGTATAACAACACAAGGGGAATATCTGGTAATAGATAAGAACTTTAGTAGAATCAACTGGAAAAGTGCTAAAAATAACATAAGAATACTAAAGGAATTAAAAAAAAGAGAATGAAATGATAAAACTCATAAACAATCACGCCAGCTATCGTCCTGGCCCGAGGATAAAGTAGCAAATGCTAAAATAACGTATCTCTAATCTCCAGACTCCTCTCTTCATTCTTTCACCGCATCTGTCCAGTATTTATACGTCCAATTCTGTCCTGAGGGCGAGTCTGTGACCATTGAGAATAAAAGGCGGTGCTATCTCAAAGCTTCACTTTTTATTGGACGGGTGTTAGCTACAGGTGTGATCAACACAGCGACCACCTTCTCTCTCTCTCTCTCTCTCTCTCTCTCTCTCTCTCTCTCTCTCACACACACACACACACACACACACACACGCACACACACACACACACACACAGAGCTTTGATCAGAAGTTGTATCAAACCACTTCAGATCTTGACTTTTCTATGGCACGTACTCTAATTCAGAGTAAATCCAGCACATGGAAAGTCAGACACCGTTAACCCTCTGTGGCCCGGTTGTTTGGATGTTTCTAAGGCATGAGCGTGTCGTGTAAAACCTAAAACCACTCCGACTGAGGCGCTTCCTTGTGTGAATGCTTCTGTGACTGTCATTCATTCAGCGTTGGCCTCCCCTGGATGAATGGCCGACCTGGTAACCATGGCAGTGACAGTAACTGGTGTTCTTCGTTGGGTGAAAAAAGACAGACGGAACGTTGCATGAAAGCTCCGTTTTTTCCTTTTGCTTGAAGTTCTTCAGCTCTGATGGCTTCTCCCCTTGACGTTTCACCGATGCTTGGCCATGATTGCGTGGCACTCGCCTTCTTTCTAACACTGTTTCTTTGTTGTTGTTTTTTTACTTCAGCTCCACCTCAGTTTGTCATCCGTCCGAGGGATCAAATCGTGTCGCAGGGTCGTACTGCCACCTTCCCGTGTGAAGCCAAAGGAAATCCTCAGCCTGCTGTTTTCTGGCAGAAGGAGGGAAATCAGGTGAGACTTTATCTTGAAAGTCTGTGAAAGAATTATTTATTTTCTTAACTCGTTCACATGTTTTTACTGTGTGGGCGTCGGAACGAGCCCCCGCACCGTGAGAACAAACATCTCAGCTCTAAAGCTGATCTTCATCCGTGTACGTCACACGTCACGTGATCAGGAAGCAGAACATCCATGTGTTAGGAGATCGTTTTGGTCCGCTGCTGTAAAAAAAAAGTGAGGCGCGAACCGGAAAAGCTTCTGCCGATCACAGTTCAACAACGGATTATGAAAGAACGGATAACGCCCGAAACGCGCAGATTCTTCCTGATGCAAGAGGTGAGTCTCCGCTTTGTTTTGGTTGTTTTGGTTGTTTTGGCGTCGACATCATCCAAGAGGGTGCTCGCTGCAGAACTACAAAGGTGGAGCTGCACCAGAGTCAGCCCCACACATTCACGCAAACTCAGCCTAGCCCACTGACTTCTTCTGTTTTTGTTTTTCAACTTTATCGCAAACTAACCGGACCCACATGAATTACGGCTGTTATTAATTTACAACTGTTAATGCTATGTTCTGTGCTCCAATTAAACAAGATAAATGTAACTTGCTACATGACAAAGCCTGAATGTTTCCCAAAATGAAAATGTTTCTTTTAGCGAATATCTGCCCACAGCCGCTCCAACAAAACCGGCGTACAACAGCATTTAAAGCTATTTAATGGGTTCTGGTAGTCCAATGGCAAGATTTTCTGACTTAAGTTTTGCTTTCCCCTCTGCTGATGCTGGTTCGACTCTCGGTGGGGTCGGCAGCAATCTATTTAGCCAGCTGAAACATTTAATTTGTTTATATTTTAGTTGCAATGTTTATTTTCAGCAAAATATTTATGTCTTTAAAAGTTATTTGAATTTGGTCGTTCCTAAACAGCATTTTAGTTGAAACTCTGCTCACAAAGGGACTCACACTGGCTAAACGAATAAATTTAAAATTAAAACACATTAGTCATATTGTAAATAGTATACCTATAAATTGTTGTAAACATAGTACTGGCAAGTGTAGCTAGAAAAGAAGAAAAAGGGTTACACAACCACTTCACCACTACATCCGGTAAAAAAACAAGTGGCGTTACATGTAATTGTGCCATCCAGTGTGTCTTTGGAGATGGGATGTATGGTTTTTCCGCCGGTGTCTCAGTAGAAGTCATTTCAGAAATAATTTGTCAGAAAATTCACAGAATATCCAGATTTGAGAACCAAGACCAGACCCGCTTCGGGGGAGGAGACCAAATAGAAGCTGAGATGGGAGGGAAATGCATGAATGAGGCCAAAAATGGCTTTGGCGTGTTTCTTATGAGGAAACGACAATATAACATGGTAAAAAGTTCCAAAAGTTAGATTTTTAATTATATGGAAACTTAACAAAAACTGTTCAATTAACTTCTCAACTCCGTCCTCAATCTTGCATTTTAGATGATGTTAGCTATAACACCCTCTATGGTTCCAGAATGCTATCAAGTCTGACGACTGGAAGGAATTGGACTGACTCTGATGGAATGGGCGGGGCTGACTCTGGTGCAGCTCCGCCTTTGTGGTTCTGCAGCGAGCACCACTTGCATCATCCTAGCACGTAACGTTCTGTGACTCTTAAAATAACTGTAAAAACGGTGAGAAACGCTGGCAGCGAATGAGAATTCTCAACCCTCACATCAGGTTAGAAATCTTGGTGTCATAATTAATTCAGACCTGAGCTTCACTGGTCACATTAAGATCCAGGTCAGCGTTTTATCATCTCCATCAAACAGCACGACTCAGAGGTCTCATGGCCAGACGGGACCTAGAGAAACTCATTCATGCGTTCATCTCCAGCAGGCTGGACCATTGCAGTGGTCTTTTGACTGGTCTTCCCAAAAAAAAAAGCCGTGAAGCAACTGCAGCTCATTCAGAATGCTGCCGCTAGGGTCTTAACAAGAACCAAGTCAGCCGAGCACATCACTCCTGTTCTTAAATCTCTACACTGGTTACGGCTAATCTACAGAGTTAATTTCTAAGTAGTTTTACTAGTTTATAAATCATTCAATGGCAGGGGGACAAAACAAATACATGTTGGATTTCCATCCTGAATCTACGCCCAGCAGGGCTGTGAGATCCTTAGGAAATGGTCAGCTGGGAGAAGCAAACAGGGTGAAGGTGCATTTAGCTGCTATGCTACACACCGATGGGATCAGCTTCCTTAAAGCCGGGCGGACACTGTGCGACTTTTTCACTTTTTTGAGCCGATTTTCCAGTCGTGTAAGAATCCACGACATCGGGGCGAGTTTTGCGCCGAGCGTCGTGTAGTGTACAGGGGGTTACGAGAGGCGATTAACACCACGTGACCAGCTGCCGATCAGCAGTCGTGAGGTCGCACGGACTTCTGGAGTGTTTAAAATTTCGCTCGTCCCTCGTGAGGGTATCGCACTGTTGAAGCGGCGCTGCGAGCAGCTGCGACCCAAAAAGTATCAGAACTGCTCACGGCGCATGCGCAATCCTGCATCAACGCCGCTCGCTATTTCCCTAATAACACACGCTGTTCGTTTTTGTTTCTACACGTTTTTTTACTCACAAAGATTGTCAAGAAAGCGTGTTTGTCGTGTTCATGTCAAATTAAACTGATCACAAAACACAGATTTACTTTCTTTATTTCGTTTTCCTCATCCAACCCCCATAAACCCCTGTGTGTCCTCCTGCAGCACTCCCGAAGGACAACAGGCAAAACAAGACCAAAAAGTCTAACGTGTTGAGTAAAAACTGCTATTTTTAGCATATTTTTAGGGCCGACGTGTTGCTACCAGACGTACAGTGTGAGCGGTCAGATCGCATGCGAGAACTGGGTCGTGCGGTGTGAGCACATGACTCGTGAGATCTGCTCTGCGAGGAAGTCGTACAGTTTGAGCTGAAGCTGAACGCTGCGAGTGAAAAAGTCGCACAGTGTACGCCCGGCTTAAGACATCAAATGTGCCCCGACTCTTGTAACGTTTACATCAAAATGGAAAACCTTCATGTATTCATCAGCCTTTGAATGAATGTTCTTATGCGGCATCTTCTGCTTTGTATTTGCCACCCTTTGCCTTTCATCTGATTCCTGCATCTAAATTAATTTGTGTGTCGTTTCAATTTGATTTTAACATCGGCTGGGGTGTTTTTACATTGATTTTAATGTTTTCTGTTCTCGCTGTTCTTGCTCCTGGAAAGCACATAAAGTTGCTTCTGTGTGTGACACGTCTGTGTCGGTTAAGGATGAGGGGGGTGTTTAATAGTGTAATAGGAGGTATTTAGTTTCAACTCTCTAACACCTACAGTGCAGCTCTGAATCCAATCTTTAGACAGTTTTCAGCAATTCTCAGGGCTTGACTCTCTGGAGAGAGGTTTAACAAAACACTCACGACGGTTCGAGAACTTGGGATTCAGCGCTTTTCATTTTGAGCTGATGAAACTCCTCGAATGAGACGTGGAACGTCGTCCTTTTCTGAACCTTTCAGTAAAATAGGCGCCTTGTGTAATCAGCAGTCAGTGTTTTGTTTGGATTTCCCCAGCTGTATGGTGCTGCTCCTCACACACACACACACACACACACATACACACACACACACACACACACACACACACACACACACACACACACACAGAAATCTATCCTCAGTATCTTTACCAAAGACACAAAGACACACCTTTGTTCCCAAAGAGCTGCCAAACAGCAACGACTCCTCTAAAGTGCTAATCGTTTTCTTTTTGTGACCCTGAACTGATAAGAGCGATCGTATCCCTCGCTAAAGCAGATACCCTGATTCAAATACCTGGATGGCAACTCTACAGCCTGCAACTGGGCCAATTAGGAACCTGTTGGGGCTTGTAGATGTGCTAAAGATATGACTCAGCTCTGGAGCTGAAACAAACACACACACACACACACACACACACACACACACACACACACACGTGTGTGTGCTCAGTCTTTGCCCGGAGGCCAACAATTATAAAAGTGTTATTCTGTAAGTGTTTGCAGAAGTACCGACATGCTAACGTGTTCATTCAGAATAACGCTCGTGTGTGTGCGTGCGTGCGTGCGTGTGTGCGCACGCGCGTGTGTGTGTTATGCTGTTATTAAGATGAGGTTTCTGAGCCGAATGCACCACAAAAATGCGACACAAGCAGTCACACATCTTTACCTTCTGTTTCTCAAGGCTCTCTTTGTGTGAGAGATATGAAACTATTTGGTAGGTGAGAATATTATGGGTTGTTAATTGAGGTAATTTAATGACACAAAGGAGTTTTTCCTTCACACTGGAGGACAATAATGTCCTCAGCTGTCAAGAGATGCAGATACACGAACGCTAATTCAAACAAACAGCGTGATTAGTTGCGTTGATGCGGTTGGGTATAATTAAATCTCTTTATTTGATACTTTTACTTTGGTAATCTTAACAAAAATGAATACATGACTCATGATTTAACAAACACGAGTCGACATGGGATGAGGATCAGCACCTCCAAATCTGAGACCATGGTTCTCGACCGGAAAAGGGTGGCTTGCCAGCTCCGGGTCGGAAGAGAGGTCCTACCTCAAGTGGAGGAGTTTAAGTATCGCGGGGTCTTGTTCACGAGTGAGGGTAGGAGGGATCGGGAGATCGACAGGCGGATTGGTTCGGCGTCTGCAGTGATGCGGACGCTAAGCCATAGGGTTGTCACGGTATGAAAATTTAACCTCACGGTTATTGTGACCACAATTATCACGGTTTTCGGTATTATCGCGGTATTTTTTAAACGGTGTTGCATATGTTCAGAAAGCATTGATAGTCCTGTTCTACACAAACTGAAATAGTTTAGAAAAGGTTTAACAGTGTTTATTAAACCTAAAATAACACAAAGCCTTAGCAAAAGTGCAACTTTTCACAAGTAAAGGAACAAATAGCTTCTTTTTCTGGAACATGTTACAGTAGTCAGTGCAGGTTTAAATTATACAAATCCAAACATTCGAAACATAAACAATATGTAAACAAATCAAATAAACACCACTTGTTTTCTCATATACTTGTTTTCTTCATTATCAAAATGAAAATCTAAAACTCCAGTCCACACTTGACTTGAGCACTGTACAAGTCAACCTTAAAAAATATGTATTTAAAATAAATAGCCACTTTAAACAAATTACTAAAATAACTACTACACTATGTAATCAAATCCAAATGTTCAAGTATAAATGGCATTGAATAAGTAAACAAATCCATGACAAGGAACTAACTGTATATTTCTCTTCATCATCAACAAATAAGATGCTTCATCCAGCAACAGGGTGTCCGTGACACGGTTTAAATGCTGGCAGAGGACGCTGCGGCTGCAGTATGTAGTGACTCGTTGCATTCTCCCTCAACCAAAAGTCCTCGCGTCATGCATTTCAGCTAAAATGCTAATGTTAACTTACCTTGCACTGGCTGTAGAGACGTGGGTGATCGTCACGCAGATGTGCCATGAGATTTGAAGTGTTGCTGCCTTCTGCAGACACTTGTTTCCTGCACGTTCTGCAAACGGGATAGCCGTCTTCTATTAACTGTCCCTCAGTGTTTTTCAGAAATCCAAAATATGCCCATACTTCCGATTTAGTCTTCTTTGACGGCTGATGGATGTCCTGGGCGCTGCCGTCTCCTCCTTCGGCCATTATTTCAGCTTCAAAGTTTTGGTGCCATTGCAAACTAAAAAGTGTGTGTGCGCGCCGCGGGAACTTCAGCTGAAGCGACGGTGGCTGGTAAGGGTCATCGCGCCGAAACCGCGGCCACGGTAAACCCACCGAGATAATTTAGTTTTTTAAAAACTGGACGGTTATTTTTATTGTCAACTTTTTTACCGGGGTTTACCGCTATACCGGTTACCGTGACAACCCTACTAAGCCGATCTGTCGTGGTGAAGAGGGAGCTGAGCCAGAAAGCCAGGCTCTCGATTTACCGGTCGATCTACGTCCCAATCCGACGAAAATCACCGGGAGCGTTTCTCCCTTCATAAAGGAGCTTCTTTCAGACATTAGGAGAGCTGTTTTGGTGGTAGCAGTCTCTCCTCCGTGCTGGTCTGTTTGCTGCTGGGTGTTTTTGGTTTATTTAAACTTGGTAACTTGAACTTAACGTTGGTAAAGCTACTGTTAGCATTTTCGCTAACAGCTTCTTGCGTTGCTTCAGCTGTTACGTTTTGGTTTAGAGTTCATCTTTTTTGTGGTGTAGATCTCCCTTTTATTACATTTAGAGTGTTGTGGGTTTTCGGTTTAGTTTAAAATATCACCTTGAGTTTGGTTTAACCACCCAGTTTAGAGTTTGGACCTTTGGAGATCCTTATTTTGGTCCAGAACCCTGTAATCTTTGACCAGTGGGACATCCCTACTTATTTGTATTTTTGTTTTAATTCCCCACAGGCAGAATTAGTTTTATTATTCCCAACCTGTGGATGGAAAGATTTATGTGTTTTTGTAGTAAATAAACCTGATCATCATTTTAACTTTTAAATCCTGTTATTGTCCCTTCCTTATTGCACACGAGCCAAACTCCCCAGGAAGGGTCGTAACACCACTCACCTCACACACATAAGTGACCAAAACAAAGCAGCTTGGAGACACTCCATCTCCAGCCACCTCTCAGGCAGCAGCCTGCTCTCCCAAGTTCTACACGTCACCAGAACATAACCAACCAACACAATAAAAGCAGTGTTATACAAAATGGAAGGCCTGTAGTGTTTATTCTCTTACAGTAACAATTTATCAATTTTTTGAGGAATTTATTTGAGATTTTCTGGTTTTTGTTAATTGTGCATTAGAAAAATAATCGCTAGATTAATTGTCTAAATAGTCATTAGAATAGTCGACTATTCGATAAAATAATCGGCAGAATAATCGTTTTAAAAATGATCATTTACCCCCAGCCCTAGTGTTTTGGGCATGTCCTGCCGGCAGGAGGCCTCCGGGTCGACCCAGGACACGTTGAAGAGGTTACATCTCCAATCTGGTCCGGGAACGCCTTGGGGTCCTGCCGGAGGAGCTGGTGGAGAAGGCCAGGGAGAGGACGGTCTGGAGCTCCCTAGTTGGGATGCTGCCCCCGCGACCCGGACCCGGATAAGCGGAGGAAGATGACGACGATGGGTCGACATAGCCATACTACACCAGTCCTGGAACATCTTCACTAGCTCCCCATCACATTTTGTGTGCATTTTAAGATATTGATATTTGTTTTTAAAGCCCTACACGACCTAGCTCCTCCTCATCTGTCCGAGCTGCTGACTCCCTATGTACCTACTCGTATGTTCAGGTCAGCTGACCGTCTACTGCTTTGCATTCCCCGGATGGCCTACAAATCACGAGGTGAACGTGTGTTGGTCCGTGCTGCCCCCATGCTCTGGAACTCATTGCCCATTACAGTTAGGATGGCATCCTCTCTGCCTGTTTTTAAATCTCGTTTAAAAACCTACTTTTATGACTTGGCTCTTAGACGGGGATTCGTGTTATCGTATTATGATTTTATAGTTTTAATTGTTGTGTTTTATCTTCTTATTGTTTTTACTTTTGTTTTAATTGATCCTGCCTGTTCAGCACTCTGGTCAGCTCTCACGCTGTGTCTTTGTGCTATAGAGATAAAGTTGGCATGGTATGATCAAACACTCAGAATGTAAGCAAATAGAATATTTATAAAAGGTTTCAACACTTTGAGCAGTCCTGAGTTCTGTCTGAAGTACTTCTCTGTCTTTATCCTCGCCGAGTTCAACAGGATTATGTTTTCAATCCCCGACAAAGAACGTGTCATCGTTTCTCCTGTTCAATAAACTCTTAGAGTTTAAGGAGAACTTCCAAATCTGATGAAAAGCAGTTCAATTATGGCTTTTAAATATATTTTAAAACCAAAAAAGTTTGCTTTTTTTTTTTTGTTTGTATTCTCATCAAATCTCACAAAAGCAGAAAAGATGAAACCGACGAGTCAAACGAAGCAGATGCTGCAGGTGAGTGCATGACAGGAAACGTGCTCCTAACAAACAAGCTGTCAGGAAAAACGGTGAAAAGTCAAATAAAACATCCTCAAGGAGGTAATTCAGTACAGATGATGGGAAAAGAGATTAGCTGATCCCAGGCAGCTGTCTGAAGTTTGGAACAAGAACAAACAGAGCAGGAGGCCTAAAGAGATGCAAACAAAAACCGTTCTGACCAAAGGAGAAGACGTTAGTGGTGATTTTAAAAAATCACTTTGGAAAAATGCAAGTTTGGTTCGGATATAAAAGATATGGAGAAAAACAAGAAGGTTTTTTTTTAATATTCAGGGAAAAGGACCAAAGGAAAAGTCATTTCATCAATGTTGAGGAGGTTTGATGATGATGAAGTGTTTTTTCACAAAGGCGCTGCAGTTTCTGTTGAGCTAAGAGTGTTGAAGTCTTTCTGGGGAAAGACGTTTCCACCAAAACGACGCGGTCAGAGAAGAAACAGCATCTCAGTCGAGCCTGGAAGTCCCTCATGGGGACTGTTTAATAACAACAGTTATTAAAGAGCAAGTCACCCCCTACAAGAAACTTACTTCATTCCCTCTTCATGTTTGAAAAATGCAACACATGCTGTTGCCTTGCAGACCGAGAGGGCGGAGCCGCAAACCAATACACACACACACAGGCTCACAATGACATTGTGACATCATAAGGACCAGTATACATCATAGCATACCTCTTAGCCAATAGTGGTGGCAGATTTAAATTCAAATGCAGTGCAGAGTTTTTACCTGACGACGGCACAACACTGCCAGTTTTAGGCAGAATATTTAAATTTTAACTAAGATGCACTGAAGTACCATATTATTGACGACACGTGTCTGCAACACGATTAGGCACGCATTTATGCAGTTTATCAGCAAAAAAAGTTGATTTGGGGGTGACTTGCTCTTTAAAAGGAAAATGACAGAATAAACTGAGTTTGTGCTGAGAATCTGTTTAATGAGCAATCTAAAATCGGACTTATGTGGTAAAACGAAGTAATAAATGCTCGTTTTGTTCGGTCTAGTCTCTTTTGCCGTATGAGCAGATTTGACTTTAGAGTAAACAAATCCCGGTTTTAAACGCGGTGGCTCGTGCTCGCGTGGTTCGTGTAAGCACGCGGGAGTTTTGGGAGTTAGATGATTTCGTAATCAGCCCGGATTGTTCTGGATTCATGGTCCCACTAATTTTCTTTTTGTTCCTTCAGAATTTGCTCTTTCCAAACCAACCCCAGCAGCCCAACAGCCGCTTCTCGGTGTCGCCCAGCGGAGACCTCACCGTCTCCTCCGTGCAGCGAGGCGACGCCGGCTACTACATCTGCCAGGCCCTGACGGTAGCCGGCAGCATCCTCGCTAAGGCTCAGCTGGAGGTCACGGATGGTGAGGGAACACACAAACGCAGGGAAGCTGGTGGGGTCCCTTGATGCTGCGTGCTGCTGGCCTGGGCTTTTACTTTGACTTGTTCAGCTTTAGTTGGATTGTCGACACCTTTGAAAATACAAAAGTTGGGAATTTTATTTATCCAAAAATAATTCTAGCTTCTATAAAGAACGGATGACCTTTAATTTCTCATTTTTTTGCTCGAGTTTTTTTTTTCCTCTTTTAATCTGGCAGTTTAATTAAAGTGTTCCTGTTTTCCCTTTGGTGAGGAAATAAAGCTTTGCCCTTGAGTTCCTTCAAGTTTAATGATCGGCACAAAAAATGTGTTTGAGGGAAAGGAGCAAAGGACAGAGAGACAGATAGATGAGGTGAGTGAGTGACAATAGCCTTCAGTGGGATGAATTATGTGGTCCACCTTGAAGTAGGAGCGTATAATCAGCTCAGCTGGTGTGAGGCTGAGATAGACGGCTATCTAAAGAGCACCTATTGGCTAAAAACCAAAATCCTGGGACATTTCTGTCTGATCTGATTGATTAGGAAACTGTGAATATGTAATTAATTTCCAAACAAGCGTAAAAGCCTGATTTGAATGTTAAAAGGTAAATATTTCATTTAGTTTAATGTTTTTATTCTTTTTTTTCTTTCTTTTCCATTCCAATGGTGCATTTAATGGAAAATATCCAACAACAATGTGCTACAGGCAGGTTTGAAAGAAAATGAGCAAAAGGAGGACCGAGCAGGCGAGGGTCAGGGAAAGGTCACGGCCACACCTGCTGCCGTCTCTGAGTGATTTACTGCCCCGAGTCCCGCCAGCAGTCTGTGGAGTTCAAGGATATCTGTAATGAAAAATTCCTGATCTAGAGACCCAAGGCCAAGCTGAGCTTCACCTCCTCCCTTTTGTCACTCCCGCGTCACGGGCATCAGTCCGACGCATCAACTGTCCTGTCAAAGCTGTGCGCCTCTGCAGGCGTTGCATCTACTGCTGCAGCCTCACACCTGCTTACAGTCCGCTCCTAATAATAGCAATAATAATAATAATAACAAGCATTACAGAGATTAAATATTTCACGGAGCATTGTAATTCTTTTAAATACACATTTGTAGATTTTGATGTGAAAGGCATTTTTACATCTTTTAGAAATGATTCAAACCACAGCTCAGCTACCAGCTGTGCTTTAAATGCCATTCGCTTTCCTGCTTTTGTGTTTTTTTAAAGGTGCAACGTGTAGGGCCGAAATAAAAATGACTTTTTCTTGATAGAGCAAAACAAAAAGATCCCGTGGCTTCTTAGGGGTAAAAGAAATAACTTTTGGGTCGCTCCTGTTTACCGGCTTTGGTTCTTTAAACAACTGGAGATTTTTGCCGGCTGGTGTCAGATTACAAATGTCGGTGCTGCTGTGTGAGCTCACTAGCCTGGCAAGCCAGACTAAATAAACGTATTATTTAGTCTGGCATCGCTCCATTGACGGCTCTCGGTTGTGGGGCGGGTTCTACCGTTGTCTTTCTAATGATCTCCGCATGCTGCTGGACAATGAATGTGACATACTCACCGCCACAGTTATTGGTAAATGAGGCGGTCCGCAGTTGAAGAAGGAGAAAACACATCTTTTTTTTTCTTAAAAAAAAAGCACTTAAATACATCTATCTGCTCCTGATTCTGATGAAGCCCAAGTTCTAATAGTCAAATTGATGTAAAAGCCGTTTCAAACGAGCTGTCACCATCTTGTTTCACTCTGTTGCATCATCCCACCCACCAGGCATATAGAGTGCCCTGATTGGCCCACAAAGCGAATAAAGCTCTGTGATTTGTTCACTAAGCAGATAGAGCACTATAATTGGCCCACCATATGGACCAATCACAGCTCTTTATGTGTTTGAAACCCCTCTAGAGAGCTGTGATTGGCCAGCCAGAATGCTGTCAGTGGAGCGTTCCTAGACCAAACTTTGCAAAGCAAGAATTTGGTCTGGTTCACCAGGCTATGAGCTCACAGGAGTCACAGCAACCTCACACTCACTGACGGTGAACAGTAGCTACGCCCCTCCTTTGTTTATTTTGTAAGTAGAAAAACTGTTTCACTATAATGTAACAGGTATTACAATTAAATAATATGAAATAGGTATTGAACTATTGTCTTGACAACTTTGGACCAGTATCAGAAAGTTCTAGGTAAGATTATGGAGCCTTGAAAGGATCAGCAGAGAAGGAACCACACAATGACAGATAAGATATGATTTAAATAGAAAGTGTATTGAAAAGTTGTAAAGTTTACAAACCCTGCCTGTCCAAAGCCGGCTTCCTACAGTGCACAAACGCACATTAAAGGACTCAAAATAAAACCAAAACCAACACCTTCTTTGAGGAAATTCTCCAAAGAGTTTGAATTAAAGTGCTTCCACTCCTGTTGCTCAGTCCACTTCTCTTTGGAAAGAGAAATTAGAGTTTCTTTTGTGTATGTGTGTTTCTGTCCAGTGGTTCTAACACTACCTGGGTAGATTTTTTAAAGTGTCAGTCTTATCTGTGTCAAGGGATGTAGTGATAGTCCTAGGGTTCGCTGAAGATGGATCCCACGGCTGGCCACACTGTACTCTGGTCCGTCTACAGTCACTCTCTTGGAATTGGCTCGCCACTGAACCCACAAGGTTCAGATCTCAAATGATCCGGTCCTGGTCAAAAAACCAATCGGAGCTCGTGGTGAGATAGCTCGCCCGGCTGACGCAGCTTCCCACGGCCGTATTTCACAAAATTCAGATCCAGGATCTTTCAGCTAATCTGGCGGCGGTTGCCTCGTGAGTAACGGCTTTCACAACAGGAAATGTTGACTAACAGGAAGTCATCTCAAGGTATACTCGCCTCCTAGTGGCGGGGAGGGAAAATTACACTTCCAACCTTATGCCGCAGCACAAACCACAATTCTGATGTGGGTTACAATAACCTTCCTTCCAACATGACATTAGACTGTTTTGTGAGTATTTCACTTTTAAATTCTTACTTTATTCTTACATATTGCACCTTTAATTACATCAGTTCTTATTTTCAGCTCAGCGAGGATTAAAAACGAGTTCCAACACGCTCCGTTCGGCCTGTGGTTTATCAGCTTCTGTACGGTTTCCCTCTAATGTTTGACTCCGAGGTAACGGTGACCATTACACCTCCAAAGTGAATCACTTTGAATCACTTCCTTTTGTCAGATGTAAGTGTGAAAGAGAAAATAGGGGTTGGAAGCAAGGGTGTGATAATGTGTTGAAAGGTTACTGAGGTAGCCTCGGTAATTAGCCCCCGCAGGTCTGACATCATTAATCCATACTTTCTAATTAATGTAGGTTTTGTGATGCCAGCGGGACTCCACATTATTCAACTCTAAATTATAAACCGTTAAATCTCTTGGAGATCACCTTTATTTCTCAAGCAACCCAAAGGCGTTTTGGTTCCTCTCTCTTTGACACATTAGAGCAAATGAAAGAAACTCACGGCTAAAGCTGAGCTCTTCATTTGATGTAGCGGCAGAGCGGTTACAGTAGTGTTCAGTATTTAAGAACCACTTTTATTGTGCCCCGTCTAGCACAGAGTGATTCTGAACCGCACTGAGTCAACAGGCTACGGTCTCACCGCCACAGAGTCCTGGTAGTGTGTAAAAATAAGGCTAGCCGGGCGGCAGCAGGAAGCCGTGCCATTCCTCCGCCACATCAATAAAACCAGAAATCTCCACTCAGCTGTTTTCCATAATTCCAGGAAATGCGTGATACGCTCACTGTTCTGTGGCGCATTTTAACGACGTGCAGATAAAAATGGTTGACTTTATGATGGATGCCCACTTTCTTCCCGCTGTGTTTCATGATGAATGCTCTGACTCAGTTTGCTTTATAGTTAGATGTGCTTTGTGAAATCTGTTATTCCCCTGGAAACAGATAACAGGTTAGTGTATCCGTCTTCATGTTCCAGTGCTCACAGACAGACCTCCACCCATTATTCGCCAAGGCCCCTCCAACCAGACGCTCGGGGCGGATGGTGTGGCCCTGCTGAAGTGCCAGGCAGCTGGAGACCCCATCCCGTCCGTCAGCTGGCTGAAGGACGGCGTCAGTCTGCTGGGAAAAGATTCCCGGATGTCCCTGCAGGAGCTGGGCAGCTTGCAAATCAAAAATATCAAGGTGAAACATTTTAGGTGTTTTTTTGTGCTTTTAACCAAAACAACCTTAAAATTGACCTCTTTATTTAAGATATTTCAATTCATATAATGGCATTGCTCCAAAAGTTAAAGGTGTGGATCACTCATTTAATCAGTACATTTGCAGTGGTCTCCAGAAGGAATAAATGTATTATAAACTGTACTCTGGGGAAACAAAGCTCTGGTGCGCCAGTTTTTGGAAGTAGAAATGAGCCACATCAGAGTTGAGCTTCAGACTTCAGGATTTGGAGTCTCCAGAAAAAACACAAGTCTGGAGGAGTTCTGCTGTGTGGTGGAGTTGCTAATGCTAACGTTTAGCTTCTACTAGCTAAGACGTTCTCAGCTGTTTCTTGGATGCTAAACCAGCAACAGCCTTCCTCGTCGCGAGTCATGAATGTTAAACAGTGACAGTGTGACGTAGATCTGTCAGGCTTTTCTAATCCTACCCTGGAAACAGACCACGTCTGTATGACATCCAAACTAGGTCTTTGCACAGAGGGTAGAGTTTTACTGTCTGTTTTCTATCAGAAGCTAATGCAGGAGATAGGTATAGGAGACTATTTTCATGTTCAGCCTGCATGAAAAACTCAGTCGCCGATTATAATTAGGAATAATAATTTTAAAAAATGGGTTTTCAGTGTTCCACACCTTTAATGAAAGCTACACTAAGGATATAAAAGATGAAAAGCCTGCATTGATTTTTTATTTTAACCAGAAGTGTTTGATAGCATCACTTAGTGGCATGGCAGCTCCAACTGGGCTCAGCTGTGAATGGATGGATGGACTCCAGCTGTTGGAAAGGATATATATTCACTTACTGATATACACCCACACACACACACGTGTGTGCACGTTTGGAGTAGATTAAATTTAAGGGGCACATGTCTTCCTTTCCCCACTCAGTGGGCCTCAGTGGAATACCTATTACACTTGACAAAGCTGCAGATTCCTGACATGTTATTTAATAAATGGAAGGAAGGCGCAGGGACAAAACCCAACAAACAACTAAAGTTCCTAAGAGAGATGGAGAGACAAGCCAGCTGTCATCGGTCCAGGAGTTCTAGCAGCCCACCCTAAATTAATTAGCCTGGTTTTGTTGCGGTCGGCGGGACAGTGGGGAAGCTAGGAGGGGGAGAGGAAGACTGATGGAAGGGTGGTGAGTAGGAAATGGAATTCATTAAGAAATTAGCGTCAGCACTTTGAGGGACTCACGGATGACAGCGTTTGTCCAGCAGAGGGCTAGCACCATCTCCTCCCATCACTCAGTGGATGTGTTACTGAAGGGGTCCTCATGCTAAAAGCCTTGATGTCGTCTTATTTTCCATTTATGGACTCTTGTGTTTTCTACTCAACACCAGCTTTCTGACTCTGGGATCTACACATGTGTGGCCACCAGCTCAAGTGGAGAAACATCATGGAGTGCCTTCTTAGAAGTCAAAGGTTAGTCAGAGAAAAGTTGTTTTATCTGTTAGCAGTCTTGCAGAAACCACCTTTATTTTGATTCCTTCTCTTCCTTCACGCAGAATCACAAGGAGGGATAGTTGCAAAGAACTTTGATGAGAATGAGCTTCCAGGTCCACCGTCCAAGCCTCAAGTCACTGATGTCACCAAGAACAGCGTGTCCTTGTCCTGGCAGACTGGAATGACTGGAGCATCACCTGTTGCTTCTTACGTCATTGAAGCATTCAGGTTTGTTGACGGCAATCATGGTTAGGTAGTAGCATCATTTAGCTAGAGCCACTTCCTCACTGAGATTCTACTCAACCAATTTTATTTATATGGCTTTAAATATTTGCAAGGGCGACTGATTTCCTTGTGTGGGAGGTTGCTCCTTACTCTTGAAACACTGGAATTCTCTGAACACTCAAACATTTATCAAGGAAAATGTTTCTACAATATAATCCCAACGTCATCAGGATTGGGTGTCAGCTCGAGCCTTTCCCAGCCTCTCGACTTAGTTTCATCGAGTAAGAGGTGCAAGAAATTGAGACAACCTGGGAAAGCCTTAGAGGCCAAACCCCACCCCTCCCGCCAAATAAGGGCTTTTTGGTGAAAAGCAAAAGTTTTTTCTTTTAAACTCTTTTTTACAGAGAAACCTTGTAATACTTATTCTAAATACGATGCTGACCTCCATCACCTTCATTAGCTGCAAAAAGGAAATAGACAGGGAATCATCAGGTCAGAAAAAGCCAGTCTCTTCTGTGTCAGAGAAATTTAGCATTCATGGTCCTGCCCACTCTGGTTTGCAACCACCCACTGGAAGTGGAGCGCTAACCATTAGCATTAGCAACTCCATAACATGTTGGAGCACGTTTGTGCCTTCGGGCTTGTGCTATTTGTGGAGAAAAAACACCAATCTAGTTTTTTTTAATCCAGGAAAGTGGAGCGAACGACGGCAGTAGAAGAGTCTCCGACTAACGTCTGCCTCCTGAAACAGGAGCGCCAGTGCTTTTTTTTATTTTTTCACAGAAAGTAAATCACAAGCCATTCATTCATACTAGAGACAACAACAGAATTATTGAAAAAATTGTAATGGGACCTTTAACATGAGATTGAGATTAAAATACAACTTAAACATTAGCATAACCAGTTGCATGGTGTCAAATGCCCCAAATGTCTTGTGAAGTCGCTCGCAGAGCTGTTGTACGCACCAACTCATTAATTTCTGTTGATAATCTGCATATTTTCCACACAATGTTGCATCTTCAACTAGTTACCTGTAGTCACAGCCCAGTGAGATACTGGCTTAAAGACGACCAGTACTAAAAGGGTGTGTCATGGGAACTTACTAGTGGAAAACGTTATGAAAACATAAAACTTCTCTGTTTACAGTCAGTCGGTGAGCAACAGCTGGCAAACTGTCGCCGATCACATCAAAACCACTCAGTTCACCGTCAAAGGTCTTCGTCCCAACACCATCTACCTGTTCATGGTTCGAGCCGTCAACGTCCAGGGCCTGAGTGATCCAAGCCCAATGTCTGAGCCAGTCAGAACACAAGGTACTTTTCATGAGTATTGATTATGTAGTTTCGGGTCCCGAGTTGCTGGGTTCTGGGCCCGGAAGGCTTGGGGGCGGGAGGCTGCGGGCGGGCCTTTGGGCTTGCCATTGAAATCCCCCGGGACTCTGCTGGTTGTGGCCCCCGGGGGCGATCCTCTGCTCCTCTTGAGGGAGGCGGGGGCTATTCTGGTCGCAGTCTCCCTGGGGTCCCTGCGCTCTGGGGCAGCTCCTGGATCTCTGGGACCTTAGAGCTCCTTCCATCTCCTACGCATCTTTGGGGGGCAGATCTGTGGCCCCTCACACTCACTATTGGACGCTCCTGTAGAGAAACCTTACATATACAAGCTTGTGTACGCACACAGGTGCTCACATTCGCTTTCTAATTTCCGTGCTGCTCTGGGGGGCTGCATGTTGGAGTAGCTCTGTTAACTACATGTAAGTTTTGCCTTTTTTGGATTTTTTTTGCTTCTAGCGTCTTAAGAAAAACTGTATTTTTTGGCACCTTTAACTTTTCTGTTTCTGGTGCTGTGAAGCTTTGAGGATTTTTACTGCTATTTTTTCCACTTTTTTCACTTTTTGAGCATTTGTTATGATGCGTAACCATGGCAACAAGCTGGTTTACAATCGGGAGCAGCTGATTAACATTGGAAAAGCTGAAATAATACCTCAACTGAAGCCACAAATTCCAAATGAGCTAAAACGAAAGAAGCGTGGATGCAGAGAAGGAGCAAAACGAGACAGAGAAAGAGGAAATTCAAACCATCTCTTCCACTGATTATAATGGGCAATGTGAAATCACTGGCCAGCAAGATAGATGAACTCCAAGCCCTTTCAATGACTCAGCCAGAGTATTGGCAGTGCAGTGTTATGTGTTTCACTGAGACGTGGCTGCAGGACCATATCCCCGATTCCAGCGTCTCTCTGCCAGGATTCCTGACTATACAAGCAGACAGAGATCTCAAGAGGAACGGGAAAAGAAAAGGAGGTGGAGTGGCAGTGCATGTCAACAACAGATGGTGCCATCCATGTCATGTTTCAGTGAAATGTCATCTCTGCAGCCCAGATGTTGAACTCTTGACAGTAAGTTGTCACCCATATTATTTGCCAAGAGAGTTCACCAGTGTTGTCTTGGCAACCGTTTATATTCCACCTGCAGCCATTGCTGAAAATGCATGTGATGTCATCAGTTCTGTTGTCGCAAAGCTACAAACCCAGCACCCCCAATGCATTTGTGGCTATATCTGGTGATTTTAATCATGCCTTGCTATAATTCCAACATTTCAACAGTTTGTTAGCTGCTCCACCAGAGAAAACAAGACATTGGATTTGTGTTATGCAAATGTAAAGAATGCATACATGTCCAAAACAAGACCTTCTCTGGGACAATCAGGTCACAATCTTGTTCTTCTCTGCTTAGAATTCAAACCACTTGTTCGGAGGCAACCTGTGACAAGAAGAACTGTGAGAAAATAGCCACAGGATGCTGAAGAAGCCCTGCAGGGTTGTTTTGAAGCCATAGATTGGATGACTCTCTGCCAAGGATATGAAGAGGACATCAATGCCATGACTGGATGTGTCACTGACTATATAAACTTCTGTGTGGACAACATCATACCCACCAGAACAGTGAGATGTTTCGCTAATAACAAACCCTGGATCACCAGTGAACCGAAGAATCTGCTAAATGAGAAAAAAAGAGCCTTCAAGGAGGGAGACAGGGAATTATTGAGGAGTATACAGAACCAACTGAAGATCAAGATCAGAGACAGCAAGGAGGCATACAGGAAGAAGCTGGAGAACAAACTACAGAGGAACAATATCAGAGATGTCTGGTCAGGGATGAAGAAGATCACAGGCTTCAAGCAGAGGAAGGATTGCACAGATGGCAGCCTGGACACAGCCAATAAACTGAACAAGTTCGTCAATAGGTTCAGTTCAGGAACAAACCCAGCATCCTCCTCGCCTGTCCCCAGCCAATCAGACATCCCATCCTCCTCTGATCCAACATTTTCCTGTCACACGCCAGCTCTTTTGTCCTCTAACGCAGTCATGGACTCTTCTGGTTCTATAAATCTGTCTTCAACCAAGTCAGGAGATGCTGCTGCCCCAGTTATCTCCCCCTCCCACCAATCTGTCTCTAGAAGTCAGGTGAAGAAGCAGCTGGAGAGACTGAACAGGAACAAGGCTGCATGTCCAGATGGTGTCAGCCCCAGGGTACTGAAGGTCTGTGCAGAGCAGCTCTGTGGGATTCTGCAGTACCTCTTCAACCTCAGCCTGGCCCAGGAGAAGGTTCCAGTCCTGTGGAAGACATCCTGCCTTGTTCCAGTTCCAAAGAAAACTCGCCCATCAGTCAATGACGACTACAGGCCGGTTGCCCTGACATCCCACATCATGAAGGTCCTGGAGAGACTCCTGTTGGTCCACCTGAATAAGCAAACTAGGACATATCAGGACCCGCTGCAGTTTGCTTATCACCATGGAGTTGGACTTGAAGATGCCATCATCCATCTGCTTCAACCAACCCACTGTCATCTGGACAAAGCAGGCAGCACTGTGAGGGTCATGTTCTTTGATTTCTCCAGTGCATTTTACACAATCCAGCCTGATCTACTTTGCCAGAAACTCCAGAAGACACAGGTGGGGGCCTCAACTATCGCCTGGATTAAAGATCACCTGACAAACAGACCACAGTTTGTGAGGCTGAAGAGCTGCACATCAAACCAGGCAATCAGTAACATTGGAGCACTACAAGGGACTGTACTCTCACCATTCCTTTTCACCCTGTACACCTCAGACTTCCAGTACAAGTCAGAGACCTGTCATCTACAGAAATACTCAGATGACTCTGCAGTTGTCGGGTGTATCAGAGATGGACAGGAAGCTGAGTACAGAGAGCTGGTGGAGCGCTTTGTGGCATGGTGTGGAAACAATCATCTGACCTTGAACGTGAACAAAACAAAGGAGATGATTTTAGACTTCAGAAGAAACAGGGTGGAGTCAAACACTGTTTCCATCACGGGAGAAGAAGTGGAGGTGGTTGAGGAATACAAATACCTTGGAGTTCACCTGGACAACAGACTGGTCTGGAGAAATAACAGCGAAGCTGTTTACAAGAATGGACACCGCAGACTGCACTTCTTGAGGACACTTAGGTCCTTCAGTGTCTGTAGCAAGATGCTGCAGGTCTTCTACAAGTCAGTTGTTGAGAGTGTAATCTCTTCAGCCATCGTCTGTTGGGGTAGCAGCATCAGAAGCAGGGACCTGAAAAGGCTCAACAGCCTAATAACAAAGGCTGGTTCTGTTCTGGGGACGACTGTGGAACCGCTGGAGGAGATCATGCAAAGAAGGATTCTCCAGAGAATCAAGAAAATGATGGACAACCCTGAGCATTCTCTTCACAAGACTGTCCGACAACGGAAGAGTGTCTTCAGTCAGAGGCTTCTTCAGTTTTGCTGCAACACTGACCGCTACTGGAGATCCTTCCTGCCAACAGCCATTGTAATATACAACAACTCTTTGATGACTTGATTATTATTAATATTCAGAGCTGCTACAGCAATCAATTTTGCTCTGGGATTAATAAAGTATTTTTGAATTGAATTGAATTGAATTGAATGGTGCTCTCATAAGTATGGACTTAGGCACGTTCAACACATGTTGTGGCTGTGGTTGGCACTAAATGCACTGTGATTTATTATTGTGTGATTGTTCAGTAAAACAATGTTGATTTTATATTTCCTCATCAGGTTGACGCAGTGATAGCTTGCTCCTGTTATATTGTGTGTCCCTTTTCTGCAGGTCTAGAAGCAGACTCTTGTTCATCATTGATTGTTTATTTTTGTGGACCCCCCACCCCCCCTCCCCCCTTGTCTCTTCCTTTCTTTTTCACCTCTGTCTCCGTATCTGGTTGGAATTACAAGCATTCAAAAAAACAATAACAAAGTTTTAAGTATCAGGCGTGACATTAAAAAAAGAAGCGTTGATGCTCCACCTGAGAGTAAATCTGTAAGGCTTGTCACCAGCATTCAGACCATTAATTCTGTTTGCTTCACAGCCAGACAGGACATGGGGGAGAAAAAAAGATTATGTAGTTCTGTAAAAACTCATTTTTTCCTATCATTTAATAAGATCAGTGTTTCACCGATCATCAGCCTCGCTGCATTTTGCAGCGAAAAGCAGCGCCAACTCGCTGCGGAATGATCCAGAGGTCAAATTCTTCGGCTCGGTTCAGCTCATGAGGGCTACACTTAAGCTATTATGTAAATAAACGTGCCTACTTTTGGAAAGGGCCAACAGCATTAGTGCCTTCCGTGCAACGTTAATCTTCATAATAAGAGAAAATGACCATCCCCAGTTCCGGGTAAGGTTTGACTACTGTTCTGAGCGGCCCACAGACATTTGGTGTGCAGTGATATGAAAAGTTCCCAGCAGTGAGCCAAAAGCAGGGTTCACCTCGGATAACTCATCTAAAGATGCGGATGGATAAGAGTCTGGAGATGGAACACAAACATTTTGATTAGCCATGACGGTCATAGATTTTTTTGTGTTGACTCCTCTCTCTGCGGTAGTGTAGTTTGAGATTTGTGACTTAGTTGGGTTTTCTGAATGAAGAATCTTTTTCCTCCAGTAAATAACTCAAAACGTGGCTCAAATCCACAGCGTTCAGGATCTCCTTTGCTGAAGTTTTTATTTCCTTCTAACCTAAAACACATGCGGGTGGGAAATGAGCTGGGAAATGGTGTCACAGCATCTATTAATCTTCCATTTGAGACGCGTGAGGGTCAACCATTCTGAGTGCAGTCGATGCAGTTGTTCCGTCAGACCCGAGGAAGTGCAGACACTCGTCTGAAAAGACAGTCCCTTATTACAAGGTGGAAAGAGATTATTTTAATGCAAATGAAGCTGCTTCTTTTCAAACTAAGTTTCTTTGTTGAATCTGAAAGCTCACTGTTATCATTCAGCCTCAAATCATTTTCTTTCTTTACCTGAAAATATCTGTGGGTCTTTTCTCCATCTTTCCGTGCAGATATCAGCCCTCCAGCTCAGGGTGTCGACCACAGACATGTGCAGAAGGAGCTTGGTGAGGTCATCGTTCGATTGCATAACCCCGTGGTTCTGAGTCCCACAACCATCCAGGTCACATGGACGGTAAGTGTAGCATAAATTATTTTATTAGATGCATAACCTCTAAATCAGCTCCTCTAAATCTGGGACCATGGTCTTGATTCGAAAAAGGGTAGAATGCCTTCTCCGGGTCAGGGATGAGGTGCTGCCCCAGGTGGAGGAGTTTAAGTATCTCGGGGTCTTGTTCACGAGTGAGGGAAAACTGGAGCGTGAGATCGATAGGTGGATTGGTGCTGCATCTGCAGTGATGCGGGCGTTGTACCGGTCCGTCATGGTGAAGAGAGAGCTGAGTCATACGTTCCTACCCTCACCTATGGTCGTGAACTTTGGGTAGTGACCGAAAGAACGAGATCGTGGGTACTAGTGGCTGAAATTAGTTTTCTCCGCAGGGTGTCTGACTCTCCCTTAGAGATAGTGAGAAGCTCGGTCATCCAGGAGGTGCTCGGAGTAGACCCGCTGCTCCTCCACATCGAGAGTTGCCTGTTGAGGTGGCTCCGGCATCTGGTTAGGATGCCTCCTGGACACCTTCCTGGTGAGGTTTTCCGGGCACTTCCAACCAGGAGGAGACCTAAAGTTAGACCCAGGACATGGTGGAGGGACTATGTCTCTCACCTGGCCAGGGAACGCCTTGGGATTCCCCCGGAGGAGCTGGCCCAAGTGGCTGTGGAGAGGGAAGTCTGGGCCTTTTGACTTAGCCTGCTGCCCCCGCAACCCGACTCTGGATAAGCGGATGAAAATGGATGGATGGATGGCATAATTTTTATGTTTTTAGTTGTTTGTGTGAAATCTAGGTGGCATTTTCATTTACTCGTTTCTGCATGTTTAGTTCTAGTGAGGGTAGTTGACATTAGAGATCCTTCTTTGAAGATGGTCCTGGGGCGAGCATTTGTTTTATGAGGGAATTTTTGTCAGGTTGTTCCCTCCGACTGCAGCTTTCAAACATTGTAATTGGTGACTTAAAAGTAAGCAGACATCAAATGGCAGCAAAACGTTTTTTTTAACCACCGCGAACATCAAAAGAAAAGTCAGACACCTGGATGTTCATCAGTCTTGCCTTTAGCTCCTTCCCTCTTGAAACAAAAAAAGATTCAAATTAACGCTAATGCTCATAAATTCTGGTTTTGCACTTGATGTCTATCATATTGTGGAGTTTGTTTTGCAGCAAATATCAACTGTGAGAAAAGATTCGACCCTTTTACAGATTTCCCTTGTTTTTGCCTTTTTGTCACATTTAAATGTTTCAGATCAATAAACTCTTAAAGGAAGAAAACCCAGATCCAGACCAACCTAGCTTCATGTGAAAGTTAACTGAGCTGTAAACTTAGTGACTGCTGTTAACACCCTGTGGAAGCAACAACTATAATAAAGGAATTGTGATAACTGGTAGTGATCCTCACGTTGCTGTGTTATTTTTAGATTTGTTTGACTTTATCCTCAGTAAAGAATTTTCTGGCTTGAACAGCTCATTTAAAGGTGCAACATGTAGAAATGGAGTAAGAATAACATCATGTGGTCAAATGTGGTTACTGCGGTCCATTTGTCAAAGCAAAAAGTCACTTTTCGTTCCATGGGTTTCGTGGCTGTTGCCAGTTACGGATAAGCGCCAGAAGACGAGTCATGCACAGTAAACCGATAACCGAGCAGATAAATACGGTGTTATATCTGGTGTGATCACTCTTGGATGATTTACAGTAGGGACTCATTCGAGGAAGTAAAACGCCACAATCAGTGTTGCCAACTTAGCGACTTTGTCGCCATTTCTAATGACTTTTCAGACCCCCTTAACGACTTTTTTTTGTCAAAAAAGCACCTAGCGACAAATTTGGTGACCTTTCTGACCCCCCTCAGCTACTTTGACTACAACTTTGTAGCAGACTTTACCTGCAGATTAGCGAGGCATCTGAAGCGACAGGACCGTCCTTCCTTCCAGAGGATCAGAAAGAAAATGATCTGCGCATGTGCGTGCAGCATGATCACACTACCCCCATTGACCAATCAAACCTTTTGTGGGTTTTCACAAGTCCATTATTTGAGATAGCCACCGGAGCTACATAAAGGGCGACCGCTCCTTCCGCCATCCTGCCGCATTTCGGCAGCTGAGCTCGGCTGGCACTGGCAGGCAGCGTCGCAGTCACACATGGCTTCTCGCACCACTTGTGGTGCATTCAAGGAACATTGGAACTCTATGATGAATTCAATAACGTAGCAGATTTAAAACTTTTATAAAAAACAGAATAATACTCTAAGACAAACACCTCAGGTCATTGGCAGTTTGCATGTAACGTTTCTGAATACTAAATACGGCCTGCTTCTTTTTACACAGAAGTACTAAAAACAACAAAACCAAACAAAAATAAAAAATATATATTATCTGTTAGGTCAATATATAGCAATGCATCTCACGGCACTTGACAACTACAAGGGAAAATTCATTTTAATTCAGTCATACATACATTCCTATCGATTTAATATTTTTGTGTTTAAGAGTTCCATTCTCTTCAGACAAAATAGAAATATTCCTTCCATTTATTTGTGCCATCTTTCCTTGATGTTTTAAAGGCTGCTGTTTTGTATACTATGGGGTTTTTATTTTAATAAACTATTAAAAAATAGATTAAATAATTTATTTAATGAAATCACGCAGGTTTTATTTGGTTTAGTCCACAAGACTGGTGACATCACGACGTAAACGTGGTGATGTCATCTCGCAAACGTCATTGCGTCATATGCACATTAACACGTGATGTCATCTGGCGACATCCAGCGACTTTTGGGGGAACTTCAGCTACTTTCAGTCAAAAACAGTTGGCAACACTGGCCACAATTGACTCATTATTCACTTCACACAGACATTTCACCGTAATGTTGAGTTAATGGTCCTTGAAAAAGTACCTTGAGATGTTTTTAGAGCTAACTGATTCTAATTCACCGTTGGCATTGTTAGCTCGACGTTAGCCTCTAGTATGCTTCACTTGATATTAGAGTAAAACAAAAAAATCCCATGGCCTCTTAGGGGTAGAAGAAATAACTTCTCGGTCGCTCCTGTTTACTGGCTGCAGTTCTTTACACAGCTCTGGAGTTTTTTGCCTGCTGGTGTCAAATTATAAACAATTGTTTAAAGCTGCTTTCCGGAGCTTTTCTCTTTCAGAAATGATGTATGATTTGTCAGAAATCCGTAAAAGTGATGATCTTAGCTTGTACTGTGCTATAATGTAAGCAATAAGTCTTTTTTTGTTTTGCTAAACACACCCCCTGCCCGGCAGAGCTCCGTGAAATAGGAAACTGAGCGCCGACCAGTACTAACCAATAGCATTAGACTACCGCTTAGATGCTTCAAATTTAAGGAATAATTCTGCTGACGCAGAGTTGATGAACTTTTCACGGACAAGAAAGTCTCTAAAACATAAATATATGAAAACACAGCATGACCTGAGAATAATACTCGTAAAACAGCGTGTTTTAGCTCTGTTTGTCGGCTACAGAAGCACATTTATAAACAGAAACGTGAAGTCGCCATCTTAAAAAAACAGAACAGCGTTTTTTGTGATACGCTTGTCAGCCACTAGATGGTGCCATCGGATAAGAGAAATACTCCAGAAGGAAGCTTTAACGCAATATTGTGTCATCAGTCCACAGAATCTTTTTCATTTAATTTAGGGATGACGAAGATGTTTTTGTCTTGTTAATGTGAGACAGGCCTTGTGTCCTGTTGTTTAGCATGCTGTTTGCTGTTCTTTCCCCCCTAACTGTCTTTAGAATAGGGTGAGATGTGTTGCTTTTGGAGATCGTTTTATTGAAGCGTTGTCGTGATTCTCCGGTCTGGCGATTGTCAGGCTTGGATGTGACTAGTGCAACTGAGCTCAGCTTTATTATTCACGATTTAACTGTGGGGGGACACTTTGTTTTGTGTTAGATTGCTTTTCCACCACAATCAACTAGATAATCATTAGAAAACTTAATGTTTATTCAGTCTATCGTTGTCTGATAATACATTTTAACTGATCTGAAACATTTAAATGTGACAAAATACGCAGAAAAACAGAAGAAATCTATTTTTTACATCTTACAAACAGATTTTTGTCACTTTGTTAAAATATGAAGAAAGTCCTGGATGTGAGTGTTTCTGTTTAATTATGTGGTAATGAGAGAAAAAGGGCTGTTCAGATTCATCTGGGCTGACGTGCTCATTTATTTATGTGTTGATTTATTTATATTATGGCCAACAAATCACTCAGTTGTAGTTATTTGTGCGACATCACTTAGTGGAATGGGGTGCCGGGTAGCATTTTGAAACCGTCAACATTAGCCGTTTTGCTGCTGACATGTTTATTGACCCCTGTAGTAAGTCTCACCCCAAGCCTTGGTTGTTAATTCAACGCTAAACCCTTGCTTTATGATTGTAATGCACAGTCAACACAAACGACGCCAGCCTAAATCATTCAGGGGTCCTTTCTGTAAACAGAGGAGCCACTTTTATATTTCCAAATCATTCCGTTAATAAAGTCGCACACCAACATGGAAATCCATTTTGCTGATTTACTCCATCTACCCTGGTGGAAAACAGATGCTTAATATCCCACTTGAAAGCAGCGCTCACTTCCTCCACTGTTAACAAGCCATTATGGTGAGTAATGCGTTCGCCCCTCCTCTGCATGAATTCAGCATGTTTCTCTTTAACGAAATGGGCAGAGTTTTCGGAGAAGGGCCCTTTGTGGCTTTCAGGGCTTCTCCTGGATTTTTAAGTGTCTGCTGATAACACGTCTGCTGTGCGTTCCCTTCGTGTCCCCCGGGTCCTCCGTGACATTCTTACGGTCGCATCTCCTCGCTGATGCGTTCAGAGCGGCTTCAGCGTGTCACTGTTTAGTATTTATTATGCATTTGGGACGTGCACATGTCCTTTAAGGTGGCATTATGGAAAGTCTCTTTAATGGAAGAGGCAACACTTTGGACTGGGAGCTGTGGGTATGAGGTAATGTCAGTGTGTGTTAATTGAGCAAAGTGTAGCATGGCTGGTGATAAAAGCCCCATTAAACAAGTAACAGCCTCTAAAATGTCACGTATGCAATTTTGTAAAGCACACTGCAAAAAAATAACACAGACACCTATGTTTTTTATTTATCGACCGCCCCGAGGTAGCTTCCACCAAACCTCTCAGCCTGTTTTCTTTTCTTTTTTTTTCATAATAAAGTACGGCAGTAATTTTGTTGTCATTTCCTTCCCTCAGGTGGATCGTCAATCCCAGTTTATCCAGGGTTACAGAGTTCTGTACCGGCAGACATCAGGGCTGCCTTCGCCTGGACAGTGGCAGGCTCAGGATGTGAAGGTTCCTTCGGAGCGCAGCATCATCCTTGCATCGCTCAAGAAAGGGATTGTTTATGAAATCAAGGTGCGGCCATATTTCAACGAGTTTCAAGGCATGGACAGTGAGTCCAGGACAGCACGGACCTCGGAGGAAGGTGAGAAGTCGAGGAATGCAGTAGGTAGAGGTTTTAGGAGGAGCAGTAGTCACAGATACGTTTGGATGGTTCCAAGTTGTTCTCGTTCACATTCAGTCGCGCTTTTTCATTTGTGACAGAACATAGGAGTTTAGGTCCCATCTACAATATTCCAGATGTTTACAGGGAGTGCAGAATTATTAGGCAAGTTGTATTTTTGAGGAATAATTGTATTATTGAACAACAACCATGTTCTCAATGAACCCAAAAAACTCATTAATATCAAAGCTGAATGTTTTTGAAAGTAGTTTTTAGTTTGTTCATAGTTTTAGCTATTTTAGGGGGATATCTGTGTGTGCAGGTGACTATTACTGTGCATAATTATTAGGCAACTTAACAAAAAACAAATATATATCCATTTCAATTATTTATTTTTACCAGTGAAACCAGTATAACATCTCCACATTCACAAATAAACATTTCTGACATTCAAAAACAAATCAGCGACCAATATAGCCACCTTTATTTGCAAGGACACTCAAAAGCCTGCCATCCATGGATTCTGTCAGTGTTTTGATCTGTTCACCATCAACATTGCGTGCAGCAGCAACCACAGCCTCCCAGACGCTGTTCAGAGAGGTGTACCGTTTTCCCTCCTTGTAAATCTCACATTTGATGATGGACCACAGGTTCTCAATGGGGTTCAGATCAGGTGAACAAGGAGGCCATGTCATTAGTTTTTCTTCATTTATACCCTTTCTTGCCAGCCACGCTGTGGAGTACTTGGACGTGTGTGATGGAGCATTGTCCTGCATGAAAATCATGTTTTTCTTGAAGGATGCAGACTTCTTCCTGGACCACTGCTTGAAGAAGGTGTCTTCCAGAAACTGGCAGTAGGACTGGGAGTTGAGCTTGACTCCATCTTCAACCCGAAAAGGCCCCACAAGCTCATCTTTGATGATACCAGCCCAAACCAGTACTCCACCTCCACCTTGCTGGCGTCTGAGTGGGACTGGAGCTCTCTGCCCTTTACCAATCCAGCCACGGGCCCATCCATCTGGCCCATCAAGACTCACTCTCATTTCATCAGTCCATAAAACCTTAGAAAAGTCAATCTTGAGATATTTCTTGGCCCAGTCTTGACGTTTCAGCTTGTGTGTCTTGTTCAGTGGTGGTCGTCTTTCAGCCTTTCTGACCTTGGCCATGTCTCTGAGTATTGCACACCTTGTGCTTTTGGGCACTCCAGTGATGTTGCAGCTCTGAAATATGGCCAAAATGGTGGCAAGTGGCATCTTGGCAGCTGCACGCTTGACTTTTCTCAGTTCATGGGCCGTTATTGTGCACCTTGGTTTGTCCACATGCTTCTTGCGACCCTGTTGACTATTTTGAATGAAACGTTTGAATGTTCGATGATCACGCTTCAGAAGCTTTGCAGTTTTAAGACTGCTGCATCCCTCTGCAAGATATCTCACTGTTTTTGACTTTTCTGAGCCTGTCAAGTCCTTCTTTTGACCCATTTTGCCAAAGGAAAGGAAGTTGCCTAATAATTATGCACACCTGTTATAGGGTGTTGATGTCATTAGACCACACCCCTTCTCATTACAGAGATGCACATCACCTAATATGCTTAATTGGCAGAAGGCTCTCGAGCCTGTACAGCTTGGAGTAAGGCAGCATGCATGAAGAGGATGATGTGGACAAAATACTCATTTGCCTAATAATTCTGCACTCTCTGTATTTAGAGAAGCAAAGTTTTCACTGTTCATGATAATATCTTCTTTCCCGTGTTTCAAATAATAGCGTCAAAGTATCTGCAACGTGCCACCCAGCCAGCTTGCCTATTGGGCCGCACATGGATGTAAATCTGACTGATGCAGAAAGAAAAAAGTACAAAGACGGTTCCACGACGGTCTATCTTTAGCCTGTGAGCTTAATGACATGACAACGACAGCAACACAAAAAGGACGAATCAGGGCTCTTGACACCGGAGACAAAGACTATCTTGCCACAACATTTCCAGACCTGCATGTGTTGGAGAAAGTTAACATCCTGTCAGGTTGACAGGCTCATTTATTTTTCTTTTCTCAGAGGGACCATATCTCCTGTGGCTAGCGAGGAAACAGTACAACACAGAGGCGTGGAGCTGCCATAGCATTACAGCCCCCCCCCCCCCCCCCCCCACACACACACACACACACACACACACACACATCTCCCTAAGGCTCCAGGAACTACAAGTCCTAGCTATTACTGGTGCTGATAGCACACCCTTCAGGCCTCTGGCCACATCCCAGCCCCTCAGACTCCAACAGGACCCGGTTCTGTTGATCGTTCTGCTCTCTCCGTTCATTATTGGTACACCAGACATATTTGGATGATTAGAACTGTTTTAATGGTCGTCGTCGTCGTCTTCCTCCGCTTATCCGGGTCCGGGTCGCGGGGGCAGCATCCCAACTAGGGAGCTCCAGACCATCCTCTCCCCAGCCACCTCCACCAGTTCCTCCAGCAGGACCTCAAGGCGTTCCCGGACCAGATTGGAGATGTAACCTCTCCAACGTGTCCTGGGTCGACCCGGGGGCCTCCTGCCGGCAGGACATGCCCGAAACACCTCCCCAGGGAGGCATCCTGACCAGATGCCCAAACCACCTCAACTGGCTCCTTTCGATCCGGAGGAGCAGCGATTCTACTCCGAGTCCCTCCCGAATGTCCGAGCTCCTCACCCCATCTCTAAGGCTGAGCCCGGCCACCCTACGGAGGAAACTCATTTCGGCCGCTTGTATCCGCGATCTCGTTCTTTCGGTCATTACCCAAAGCTCATGACCATAGGTGAGGATTGGGACGTAGTTCGACCGCTAAATTGAGATCCTGTTTAAATGGATCAAATAAAATAGTTCCAGGGGTGAATAAAACTTAGGTTGTCCATTAGCTAACACAATAAAAGAATCCCCAGAGAAAGCTGCTGCAGACTTGCAGTGTGCTTAGCATTCATTCCTGTAGTCTTTACCCTCCATCTGGACTGTCTCCTCTCGGTTTACAAATGAACTCTGGCTACCATCGGACTCCCACAGAACACTGAGTCACCACCGAGGATCGTCTCTGATGCAGCATAATGCTCATGTAGAGACAAAGGACATCCGTTACGTTTGCATAAATGAACATTTGCAGACGAATTGCTTTCGCTGTTCTCTGGGGAGACCCTGCTCCACACACTTCTTGCTGTTAACTATTGGCCACTTTTTGGTAATGATATGATATGTTTGCATTCCCCCATCATTCAGCACAGCATGGTGTGCACACGCAAGACAGGGGGTCACATTACCCCCCGCCATACATCACTCTGCTAATGGCCCTATTAGCACAGCCTCCAAGGCCTCTAATGAAAAATGTTTATTGTTTCGCACAAATATGCATGATGACCAGCTGCTGAATCATTCACAACATTAACTTTGAACGACATTGTCTCTGATGGCTTCCCGCGGACAAACCCGACACTCTGTCACCTGAACGTAACGCTGCATCGGAGGGCGCTGACTACGACGGTTGATCAGATGCTCGCTCGGTAGATTGTTTGTAATCTGGCCGAGGTGTTGGGTTCATCATTGGACCCATTCATCTTCTACCATGCCAGGGCCTCCTGGCTCTCTGGGGGCTGGTGTGGCCAATTGCACTGAGGGATGAGCACAGATTTACAGGTTGACGCGTGCCATTTTGGATGGCGGTGAGGTGAGGGAGAGGAAGCCCTGGAGTAATTGACCTGTCAGCGTGCCGCTGCGGTGCCGCTCCCCTGCCAGCCGCTGCGGAAATGAGAAAACATTATTTTTAAAACGTTATTTCCAGTTGGGCCGGCTGTTATTTATTTTTCCTCTTACCCCTTGTGGGGTCAGAAGATTGTTGTCATCAGAATAACAACAGAGGTTTATGAGAGCTCGGACTGGTCTTGCCTCCATCCTCTCTCTGTCTGCCTGTGGATAGAGCGGATTCGTTTAGACTGGCCCTACTATGAAGCGCCCTTCCACTGGCTTTAGTTCCCTCTGGCTGATCGATGAATTCCATCAATATGTTTACTGAGATCATGCTTCCTCTTTCTTAAAATGTACTCCTTGCTTTTTTTTTTCTTCCATATTTCCTTTGCACCCGCGCTTCATCCTCATAAGCCCGTTGACCCGTGTGCTGAAGTGGTCAATGCTCGAGTCTTAGTGTGACTGAGAACTCTTGCTTGATGGTGCCAGGCCATCGTTCCACAAATCAATACCAGTATCCTCTGTGCAAATCCACCAGACCGGAGCAGAGCAGAGGCTGATATATTAAATCATAGCGAAACGTTAAAGACAGCCGGTGGCTATGTCATCTGTGCCCTGGTCTTATCTCGACAACCTCCAGTCAACTGTAGCATCCCTACAGAATATTGTTCCTCAACAGGACGTGTGTCTGCGTTTCTTTTGCTGTCTCTGTTGAGCCCGCTTCAGACAGGCCATGAAAAACGGAAATGTTGGGGACTCTGTCCTTAAGACCTTTGTGTCTGAATACAAACATCCGGATAACCTTTTCCGTAATAAAACTGGTCAAAGCCCCTAGTAACAGGATTGGACTTGTCACGGACAGGGAGGAGGGGGAGGAGGAGGGGACCGGGGGACGCTGTGTGCACCTAGATAGCTTGCTCCTGTAGCATGCGGCAAACCATGGCAGCTCGCCTCCTATGGTACCGTCTCCTAGACGCGCGACGGAGCGCATCACACCGCTTCATCATCCAGGTCTCTTACGCGTCTTCGTGTGCGCAGAATTATGCTTAAAAAAATGTCTGATCAGTGAGAGGAATTCTATCTCTTCGTCGGCCATGTTTGACTGAATGGCTGTTTGGGTAAATGGCGCATGTACGCCCGCAGCACTATGTTTACGCAATATCCGGGTACAGCCTTCCCACCCCCTCCCCCTCAGACATCTGGAACTTTTCCCTGCTGTGTGAACGCAGCCGAAAGGACAAGTTCAGGTACAAAAGTGGTGTGTCTGAAAACACAGTTCTGGTTAAAAATCGGACTGAATTGTCCGCACATATTCCAGAATGTCAATCTGAAAAGGGCTTAGGTTTCTGTTCAGACAGTCTTAGTATCGTTATTATTACTGTTGACTCATAAATGCTGCCAGAGATGGAAAATGTTGCATTGGCCTGTTCGACCGGAGGTTCACCGAGGATTGATTGATATTTGTTATTTTTAAATGCTGAGGTTCACATGCAGAACACGAGAATATTTTTTAACTCTTATTTCCCGCGTTAGCCGCAGAAAGAAAATCGACGAGGAAACACTCGGGTCAGAAAAAGCCACACAGATCTACGTCACGCTGAACGTTAACATCCGTGGACTCGCTCATCTCGGCTCGCCACGGGGAAGGCTGCTGTAGTTTAGCGTCCAGGAGAGAGCAGAGCGTCTTAGCTAGCAGAAGCTAACCATTAGCAACACAACAACGCAGCCGGCTTGTGTTATTTATAGAGGGAAAATATTGTTGTGTTTTTTTTACACAATAAGAACGAACAAATGCAGCGGAAGAGTCAAATATTAGTGAGTAAGACTCCAACTCTTGCCATTTTCTGCCCTTCACCACCTCCGACTGACCTCTACTTCCTGCAACAGGAGTCGCAAGGCGTTCATTCGTACTAGAGACCTCAGCAGATTTGTTGGAGTAACGAGTGCGTGCCTCCTTTAAAGCGCTCCCTCTTCCTCTTCCAGCTCCCAGCGCCCCTCCCCAGCAGGTAACAGTCCTGACTGTGGGAAACCAGAACAGCACTTCTATTAGCATCTCCTGGGACCCCCCTCCACCGGACCACCAAAATGGCATCATCCAGGAGTACAAGGTTTGTTGCAGCGAGTCGGCACTGATCCGGATGGAACCTTTAACAAAACCAAATAAAATCAACTGAACTGCCCTCACTCTTTTTTTTTTTTTTCCTTTTGCTTCAGATCTGGTGCCTGGGGAATGAGACGCGTTTCCACGTGAACAAGACCGTGGATGCAGCCATCCGCTCCGTGGTGGTGGGCGGGCTGCAGGTGGGAGTGGTGTACCATGTGGAAGTGGCTGCCAGCACAAGCGCTGGAGTCGGAGTCAAGAGCGAACCTCAACCTATTATCATCGGTGAGGCTGATCGATGAGAGAGGATCGCGGCCTCTCATCGTGCCGTTTTGAGTGACTGATGCTTGGGGTGATAGCAGGAAGAACAAAAGCAAACACCAAAGGGAGGAGAATGTTGAAGCGCTGTTGTTTTTGAAATGTGGCCCGACTACATGTGATTTATGTGGAGCTCTGGCAGATTTTCTCTGATTTGACCCATAACTGATGACTTGGCCTGCAGCATGTACTTATTTCCCCAGTGTCACTCACATAATCCATCTCTGAGAGCAGAGCACTGAGCTTGCAGTTATTATACGCCATGCTTTTGTTTGTCTGTAGACGGCTGTGTTTAAAGTATAGATCAAAGGTGTTTGTGCGGCTTTTCTTGTGCATATTCATAAAATGAACCAGTTTGTTGTCCAAGTACGTGTTTGCAAGCGTTGATCAGGGTTGAGGTTGAATATTTTATTACGGTGTAAGAATAGGTCGGAGGGGTGAGCTGGGGTTGGAGATCGAAAGAGTCCGCCTCTCACTCCGTTTATTTCACAGTGCTCTAGCAGAGAGGAGAATTAAGAGCTGAGCAAAGCAGCTTGTTCACTCAGGGTTGTGTTTTGGACTTTTGGGCATTTTGTTTCATCGTGCGTGCCGTTAGATCAGAGAGGTACGTCCTTCCTTTCCTGGCTGTTAAATCAGCTGAAATGAATCCGACCTGCTCCACTTTTATCGCCGACCCTGTTTTTATGTGTTTGTAGTTGTTGAAGAGTAATTCCACACCCTTCAGCGCTACGAGTGACTGAAGTTTCACCTTGAAGAGTCAAAGCGCGCATGAGATTCAATTCAATAAGGCCCATAAGATCTCTGATGTTTCCCGTTTACTGTCTGCCAGGGGCGTGTCCAGGGAGTGGCCTGGGGTAGCACATGTACCCTTAGAATCTGATTGGCCACCCCAGGTGCCACCCCACTAAGTTCCAGTTTAAATTGACTTTACATCGTCGACAAAAGGCTTGGGTTGTAAACTCCAACATGGTGTGTGGTTGCATGCACCTTTCACCTTGTTTTCTAGCCCAGGCATGTAGTATTAATATTATTTATTATTTTTTCATATTCACATACATAGTATTTAGAGTCCCACTCAACTCCAGTTGGTGGCAGTAATGCAACAAGAAGTGACTTGCTAACCACCACAAAAGTAGAAGATGAATAGGAAATAAATGGTGATTGTGCAATGTGAAACTCAAAAATTCACTAGAAAGTAAACAAATAAATAAATGATTTGTGTAAATAAATAAATAAGCATAACCATTGGTGCCACCCATGAATAAACAAGTGCCCCGCATGGGCCACCCCATTTTAAAAGTCCTGGACACGGCTCTGCTGTCTGCAGCTGTCTGCTTTGCGACGTGTGAACGCGGTCTGTTTGTCCCTGTGCCCTCAGGTAAAGAGTTCCGGGACGTGATCATACACGGAAACCGGAACAACAGCATCACAGAACAGATAACCGATGTGGTCAAACAGCCTGCTTTTATCGCCGGGATCGGAGGGGCCTGCTGGGTCATCCTCATGGGTTTCAGCATCTGGCTCTACTGGAGGAGGAAGAAGAGAAAGGGTCTGAGCAACTACGCAGGTTAGCTTGAGTGACTGATTCTCTTTTCCCTTCACAGGAGCGCTTTAACAACCGGTCGCGATCCTTTAACGTTAGCGCTGAAGCTGCTAGCGGAGACGTTGGGATGGAGCCTCTGTTGCAGCTCAGCAGAGGTGCAGATGTCAGCTGTAAACATTTCCAGAGGGCTGCAGTTTTTGACAAATCCACCCACGATGTTATTAGTTAAGCATGACCGAGCTGAGTGGGCAGACGGGGCTTGTTGTTGGTCACCAGAGCTAAAGCTTGTCCACCTCTCCACCCACTCCCTGACCCCTGGATACGTCCGCATGGCCCAGAGTAAATACAGGAAGCAAGTCCACATTCATGGCCAAATGCATTCGATTTCACTAGAGAGATTTAATGAAGCGATTTGCATCAACAAATTTAAATGTTCCCGTTTTGTTCTGATAATAAGCGTAAATTCAAGAAAAACAAAACTTATTATTTTTAACAAACAGAGGCAGCTACTCTAAAGGTCTTGGGTTGCTTACGCTCCATCTTCACATCTGACATTTATGTGTTTGGTGTTTTATGTTTGGTTATGGCCGCGTCTCTGCGCCCCTAGGCTGGCTGTTCTCTTGGCTTTTTCTCTACTCGCTGGGTGACGTCACTGCAGAGCGTGTAGAGACGCCCAAAGCGCTGCTCGTCTCCGCCGGCTTTTTAATGCACAACTTTTCTGTCTTCTTGTTTTGCAGTTCAGTCCTTCACCTTCACCCCTGCAGGTACTGTTCATTTGTCCCGTCTCCTCCACCCCACCTGGTTCATCAAAATCCCACTTTCCGGTCCTCGTGCTTGGACTGCCAGGTGTTTGGTCATGGCTAATGAAAACAGAAACCTTAAAGGGGCATTATGGAAGTTTGACAGCCAAAACATGTATAGAAATAATAAATGTCTTCTTCATACATTCTCCTGCAATGCCCTGGTCCTGTAGAATGAGCCCTGGCATTTTTACTGTGATTGCCTGTTTTTCTGTAAAAGCACAGAAAAAGAGAGACGCTCGGGTCGAGCAGGCTGCTTCATGCGTGTTCACGCTCAGGCATCGCCCGTAGCATTTGCTGTCCGTAGCTTTAGCAGCAGAGAGAGAGGTAGTGCCACTTTGTCGCTGTTCCTAACGCCGTGTGACAAAGCTAGCTACATTTCTGAGGACCCTTAGCTACTCTCTGTAGAACTTTCTTCTAGATATTTCCTGCAAATTAGCAACAAAATAGCCATTTTCGCTCTGAACCGTTCTTTGGTTTGACGCTGTTTCAGCTGTCATCAACGATATAAAAGTTACAGATACAAATGACATCACTGGTGCTTTAGCTCACCTAGTAATACATCGGACTCTCATGCAGAAGACCTGGGTTTGATTCTGGATGTGAACATAGTTTATTTAGAGTTTATTTTTTACATTAATGGTATATTTTTTTACAGTAAGATGCCCAAATTTTTATTTGAGACTCGCCGAACGGCATTGAATTCACAGATAAAAAAGATGTGGGTTCAACTTTCATTTTGGAACAATTTTTCAAGCAAGGGAAGGGAATGATCTGAGCATGCAGGAGGACTGACCCATCATAAACCTTTGTCGGCTGTGCTGAAGAGAAAGGTACAGAACCAAATTATTTAATTAATTAGCTGCGCGTTCTCCTGTCCTCTGTCCTCCGGGCCACACACACACACACACACACACACACACACACACACACACACACACACACAAGGGACTGTCTCAGCTGTTATTTTCGTTAAGGAGTGTGCACGTACAGCATGCGTGCCTCGTGCACGAGCCTACTATTGAAGCTGCCGTTACGCTTTTGGCCTGAGGGGGCGATCGCGAGCATAAAAATTCAAAACTCCGTAAAGTCCCTTTAAGTCATTTACCCGACAGAATTTAACATTTACACCTAAAAGAAGTTTCTGCTTATTAGCCGTGACCCGAGCCTTGCGTATTTAAACCCTTTAATTTTTTCCTGCTCAAACTACAAACATTTTAAATGTTAGATGTTTATTTTTGAATGAGGATCCATCCTGTCTTGTGCACTTTTCATTGTGGTGGAGGGAAAGACCATGTCCTGAGAGAGCTCTTCCTTTTAGGTGCACTAAAGTTTAACTAGATGTATTTAGTTAGCTGTGTGGTGCATTTCCCATCTTTTTAAAGGAATAATTCAGCCCTTTCAACTGTTTCCATAACTTTCCATACCTGTTCTAAAGATTACATTTTTTTATCTCTATTATCCAGTGGCGGCGCTAGGGGGCGCTATAGCTACCCCTGGATTAGTCATTGCACCCCCAAGTAGATATTAGATTTTGTTTTGTTTTTTTTTACAATTTAATTTTAATTTAACATGTGGATGTGACAATATTTAACATACAAAACAACATTAATCAGTAAATTATCATATAGATAGTAAAATCTTAAACCCAAAACGGGAATTGATGTTAACCTTTGACCTCATTTTCCACCTACGAACGAGTGAAAGGTAGAGCTAGTGGTAAAATGGATCGATTTTTGTTGCCCACATTTCCACGGGTTCAGTCAGAAATGAATGAATCTTTGGAAGTGATCTCAGACCCACAGAAACCTACGGATCTGGATGGAGAGAGTCAACCCTCAACCGCCGCAGCAGTCCAGGGTTTTGCCGCTGGAAATGCTAACGCTAACGTTAGCTAACCTTGCAACACTATAGATGGTTTTCTGTGTGGCTGAATGTGTTTTTGATTTCATGGAAAAGTCAGCGATTGTTCATATGTTTGTGATGTATATTAATGATTGTTTCAGGTGTTGTTGAGATTTTGTGCATGCATGTGTATCTGCTAGTGTTGAAGGTCGTCGTCGTCTTCCTCCGCTTATCCGGGTCCGGGTCACAGGGGCAGCATCCCAACTAGGGAGCTCCAGACCGTCCTCTCCCCGGCCACCTCCACCAGCTCCTCCGGCAGGACCCCAAGGCGTTCCCGGACCAGATTGGAGATGTAACCTCTCCAACGTGTCCTGGGTCGACCCGGGGGCCTCCTGCCGGCAGGACAGGCCCGAAACACCTCCCCAGGGAGGCATCCAGGAGGCATCCTGACCAGATGCCCAAACCACCTCAACTGACTCCTTTCGATCCAGAGGAGCAGCGGTTCTACTCCGAGCCCCTCCCGAATGTCCGAGCTCCTCACCCTATCTCTAAGACTGAGCCCGGCCACCCTACGGAGGAAACTCATTTCGGCCGCTTGTATCCGTGATCTCGTTCTTTCGGTCATTACCCAAAGCTCATGACCATAGGTGAGGATTGGGATGTAGATCGACCGGTAAATCGAGAGCCTGCCTTTCTGGCTCAGCTCCCTCTTCACCACGACAGATCGGCTCAGCGTCCGCATCACTGCAGACGCCGAGCCATTCCGCCGGTCGATCTCCCGATCCCTCCTACCCTCACTCGTGAACAAGACCCCGAGATACTTAAACTCCTCCACTTGAGGTAGGACCTCTCCCCCGACCCGGAGTTGGCAAGCCATAGTGTTGAAGGTGTTTTAGAGAACAATAGGTACGCATGACCACTTCCTTCATAGCACCTGCAGAAAACAATTTCTGGAGCCGCCACTGCTGTTATCATAAAAGGCTCATTTCCACTAATTCCAGGTAAATTTACCAGACCTTCTCGGGATGTGTACCGTATTTTCCGGACTATAATCCGCTCCGGAGCATAAGTCACACCAGCCATAAAATGTTTAATGAAGAAGAAAAAAACATATAGAAGTTGCATTTTGGGGGGAAATTGTATTATTTTTCTTACAAAATCTGAGACCAAGCATTTTGCATTGCAAGACAAGTACTGGTTACAATAACAGAATAAACAACACGGGCGCTGCAGCGCGCCACGGTCTCCAGCAGAGGATGGCGGTGTTTCAAACCCTTCCAGCAGGCGGGAAGAGCTCATTCCTCGGCCGTAGCCGGCCCGCAGCACCCCACCACAGGCTGCAGCAGGTGATGGCGGTGTTTGAAACCCTCCCAGCAGGACAGGGGAGCTCATTCCTGGGTCGGAGCCGGCCGGCAGCAGCGCGGTATAGCCTACATAATTTGGTATATAAGTCGCAGGTTCAGCCAGACTATGAAAAAAAGTGCGACTTATAGTCCGGAAAATACGGTATGTTTCCCTTTCACCGGACCGGCCTGAAAGAACCATTTTCTGGGCCTTTTCAGGGACTGACCAAGTACCCGAAATGGGGTATGCACTTGGAAAAGGTCCGGTAGAGTCGCTGGGCAGGGCTTGTGCTGTAATGTTGTCATGATTGTAAAGCTGGAAATGTTGCTGGATGGAGCAAAATGGAAGGAAAAGGAAAAGAACAGCGTTGACACTGTTGAAACTCCCAATGCCGTGAATGCGGTGGAAATCCCCCCACGGCGCTGTAATTTACGACTTTTTGTGGTCTCTGTAATAAAAATAAGCACTGTAAGAAACAGTGATTCTTTGGTCACTGTTCTCAGTTTTTACATCAAACAGCTGCTCTCCTCGTCCTCTGAATGGATTAAATGATGTTGTTGTTTCACAGAATACAACTTTGTTAAAGGTGTGGAACCCCCAAAAAACATTTTTAACAACTTTTTCTGATTCTAATCGTTCACTCTGACTTTTCATGCAGGCTGAACATGAAAATAGTCTCCTACACCTATTTTCTGCTTTAGCTCCTGATAGAAAATGGACGATGAAACTCTACGATTAGAAAATCCTGATAGATCTACTTCAAACGGTCACTTGGACTCACCTAGCCTTGCTCACGAAAAAGCTCAAAAGGCTGTTTTAGCGTCCAGGAAACAGCAGAGAACCTCTCAACTAGCCAAAGCTAACTGTTAGCATTAGCTTCCCCGCCACACAGCAGAAACTCCTCCGGACTTATTTGTGGAGATAAAACATCTGTGTCGCAGAGCAAACGGAGTTAGTACAGTCATGTTGCTGTTAGCCAATCAGAGGTGAGTATCAGGAAACAAGACTCCAAATCAAGCTCTGATGTGGCTCTCTTCTACCTCCTGAAACACGCGCACCAGAGCTTTGTTTCCCCAGAGTAAGACTTCCAAGACATTCATTTCTACTAGAGACCACTGCAAACGTATTAATTAAACCAGTGAACTACGCCTTTAACTTTAAGTTTAGGAGGAAAGACTTGATACAAATGGAAATTTCTTAAATAAAGAGGTCAATATTAGGTTTGTTTTGGTCGTACTCTGATCCAGGAGTTTCTGGGCTATTGGTGCTTTCGCGATATGCGGACATCATAGCAAAGTTGATTTTATGTGGAAGTACACTGGCTGATGGGCCTGAGCCATCGTTTCAACCCCCTCAGGTGTTTAGGAACTAAATATAGCCTCGGTAAGTTGAAATGGTTTTCACATCCACATGGGCTGACAAAACTTTCAAAGTGGTTAACACAAGCTTGTCACGTACATCTTTACTTTACACCATACACTGACCAGGTATGTGTCCTGGATGCTTTTGGACTGAGGTGACCAAACCCAAAGTTCTCAGGCCGCCCGGGTCTTTACCCAGCAGCTGTAGCAACAGGTGGTGGAAGACACGAGTTTTAAATGAGAAGCATACCAGGGAGGGAGCAGGTTATTCCACAAAAACAGTTTTAATCCAAGGAATTTGTCTGAATTCAGCACATACGGCACATTAAAGTTAAACCGGGGTAGTGTTTTTACCCCCGAAGGCTTTCACACCGCCGATCCCCTTTGTGTTGACGATTAGCTGACGTATCCGGTGTCCTGTCTCCGTCTCCTAAAGCTGTCGGTACAGGAAAAGTAAATTAGAACACTGCTGAGGCACGCTGCCAGCAAAAATTAGATTTGATGGAAATTTTATATGCTGATTACACTCCTTCCAGTCCCCCGCCCCACCACTGACGCTTATTAAAGGGGATTAATCTGTATTCACATTGGAGGAAGTGCTTATCTTGGAGGTGGAGGCGAGAAGCGCGGCCCGGCCGTGTCACTCGGGCGAACATTAAAGTCTTCCACTGCGGCCCAGAAATGTGCCAGAGCGCAGATAGAGACTTCAGAGGCCTCCCTCTTCCTGTCAGTCCTCACTCAGACAACACAGAGTTCTCTAATCCTCGTCTGCTGGTGGGAGAACAAAGAGGGAAAGGCTTTGACTGCGTCTGAATAAAGGCGGGTATGTCTGCCTGGAGTTGTCAGGGCTGCACGTGTTGGGGTGGACCTGCAGGTAAACTAAACGAACGCCTGAACTTTCAGTTGTGCCAGAAATTGGACATTTGGGGGTAGAATCCTAAACTCTGGTGCGTTAAAGAGTCCCTCTGATCGGTCGTGTGCAGCCGTCTGTTGCTACGTCACCCTCAGAAAAAAGCCTCGTCTCCTGCCCAGGCCTGTTGTGGAGTCGACTTGAATGAAACAGAAAAAAGAGGGGAAACGCTCATCCTTCCTCTCGCTTTAATCTCGATCTGTGGAGCAAATTAGCCAAATTACTAACAGCTCTCCTTCGCTCTTTTTTTTAACTAAAGCAGCTCTCATCTTTTTTTTTTCCACTTACTGGTATGAGGTGATTTCCAAAAAGCTTGCGCAGCTTTTCTGTTCTCTGCCGAGAGACGCGCCCTGTTGCTCTGGCTTCATAGCAGCGGTGAAGATCCCTCACTTTCAGAGCGAGAGCAGCTCTCTTTAATCTATCCGTTTCTTTCCTGGGAGCGACCACATGCACAGCTTCTGGGGATTCCTGCGAGCCAGAGGACCAGAAACTCAGCTGCAGCGGCTTGTAGACAGAAAGCTCAGTGATTAATGAACCCTCTGCCTTCTCTAATCATCCTTTGGCTGAAATTTGATCACGAATCTGATAATAACTCGGCAGCAAAAGCAGAACGATGGAACGAGTTTTACTTCTCATCAGGCGTGTTGTCCTTGAAGAGTAAATGACGTTCCTGCTAATGCAAGCCAGAGTGGCGTACGCTCCCTGTAAGAGGGACGTCTGAAGTCTAAAGTGCCGTAAAACAAAAAAAGGACATCAGTGCTGAAGGGCAAGATGGACAAAAACCAGAAGACAGAGGACACTGAATCTGATCTTTAACACTAAAACCGAGCCGACTGTGTTAAAAAGGCCTTCTTTCTTATTCCCTTCCCTCTTTTCCTCTTTAGTGACGTTCCAGAGAGTCGACGGTGGTCTGATGAGCAACGGGAGGTGAGTGTTTCAGCTCCTACAAAATAAAAGCCTTGTATTTGTTGTCTTCTAATCTCCTGCCCTTGCACCAAATCCACATCTAGCTGCCTTTTTTTTAAAATTCTAACTCTGATAAACGCCCGACGGTTTGATAGATCACCGATACCTGTGGTGTGCCTACGATGCACGCCGGCGTACAAATACGTCTCTCCACCACATCTCCATTTATGCATCGATAGATGAACTCATAAATCTCCTCAACGGAATTAACAGAAACAATTTATGCAGGGAGTGCTTTTATTTTGTAATTTATCTTCCGCTGCGAGCCACAGGCACCCCTGAAGCCCTCTGGAGTGATAAATTTGCCTGTCACCTCGCGTGGGCGGCTGGGATCTGAGCACATGTAATAATGTAAAAATAATTACCCAGGGGAGAGGTGTGTGTGTGTGTGCATGCGTGTGTGTGTGTGTGTGTGTGTGTGTGTGTGTGTTCAGGCACCCCCACTTGCACCTCCAGACAGCCTGCTAGGTTTCAGTACAGGTTAGGGGAAGCAGGTGGGTTACCGTGGATGGGGCTCATCCCAGTGGCACCAGTAACTGAGCCTTTGTGGGTTTTCACCCGACACCCCCGAGGAGCCCGGGCTTCCGTCTCTCTATCGCCAATCACATCTGATGAGCTAAATCTGAGGATCTCAGGCACTCAGCGAGAGATTGCTACTTAATCTGACCCCATTTGGTAATATTTTTATCCAGCACTCTGGTATCAGCGTATTTATTTTTATATCTGTTGAATCTAATTTTTCCATTTTTTTCTGAGCCTATAACTGGATGCAACAATGCACATTTCTTGCCGTGGTGTTCTGTGAGCTGCCAGGAAGCTCCTAATGAATTAGCCACACCACTTGCCACGCCGTTTCTCATCTGCTGTTGTGTTTTTCTTCCAATTTTCCACCTAAGTGGTTCCGATTCTCACTCCAGCACGCGAGATTTGAAATGTCTGTATTTTTGGTGCTCTGTATTAGTCAATAGTGACTGTTACAGTTCACACAACACACTAGAATATTATCCAACTCTGACCAAAGCACGCCCCCGATCTGTTGGTAACCCTGGTTAATCCGTGGCCCAGATGTTCCCATCTGCCCCGAGAGCGGGAAAGCAAAGCAGCGTTAGGATTTGTTGCTGGAGTGTTTATTGCATTAATGAGACAATGGCAAATGAAGCCACATCTGTTCGCATCTCCTCATTGGCTGACACCAAACTGCTCTGACTGAACAATTATACTTAATCGATCACAAAACAAATGAATCACGGAAGATGAATCGGCTGCAGATTGTGGACTTGGACAATTTGAGTTTGGCTCCTCAATTGAAATTGATAAAAAGCTGATAAGGGTTCATTCCTTACTCCGCTGCCAATAGGGGGGGTAGTAATTATTAGGTAGTAATAACTTCCCATCTCAGCTCTGATCGGTGTTTTAGCCTCGCAGAGTCACTCGTATCGGCAGCCTGAGAAAGAACAGGCTTTATTAAAATTGTTGCCATAGCGATTCCTCTCTATCCGAGGATCTGAATTCCGTCTGACAGTGAGTTCTCAGAGAGCTAATTTATGGAGTCATCTGTATTTTCCATTACTCTAAGTGTTAACTAATGCCTTTACTTTTAACGCAAGTTCTATTCACTGGTCCGTTGGACCATAAACAGCAGATTTACGAGGTTGGTTTGGAATGAATCTTTCTCTCTTGGCTTATTTATGGTGAGCTGGGAGTCGGGCAGCTTTGGCAGTGTTTATGGTTTCCCTCCTGCTCATCACAAGTAACTCAAATGTCTAAAAGGAGAGAGGGAAACGCTTCACGTCCGATTTTATCTCCCAAGGTTGCCATCCGTCTTTGGTCGTACAGGAATTAAAAGTTAGGTTTTCATCAAACATGTGAGCCGGTGTCTGCCCCCACATACCTCCTCCGTTACTACATACTTATAACGAATATCCTTGCTGGAAATTGGTCTCAATTATCCTGAGGAGAACATTTGCTGTGATGAATTCAAGGGCAGTTCCGCTGTCTGCTCACTGCCTGCTTATGATGGGATGTCGGCACACAGGACCAATAAGGCTGTTGATGACATCGAGTGCTGTGGGGCCGGACGGCTTTTGGAAAAGATCAAAATTTCTGTTTGATTTATAATTTATGGCAAATTCACAAAGTACAGTAACATGAACAGATGTAAGAGGTTAATTTACATCTATTTAAAGAGCAAGTCACCCCCAAATCAACTATTTTTTTTCTGATAAACTATATAAATGTGTGTCTAATCGTGCTGCAGACACGTGTAGTCAATAGTTTTGCACTTTAGTGCATTTTAGTTAAAATTTAAATTTTCTGCCTGAAACTGTCAGTGTTGTGCCGTTGTCAGGTAAAAACTCTTCACTGCATTTGAATTTAAATCTACCATCGCTATTGGCTAAGAGGTATGCTATGATGTAAACTGGTACATTATGATGTCACAATGTCATGAGTGTGTGTATTTGTTAGTGGCTCCACCCTCTCGGTCTGCTAGGCAACAGCATTTGTTGCATTTTTCAAACATGAGGTGGGAGTGAAGTACGCTTCTTGTAAGGGGTGACTTGCTCTTTAAGGACCCGTAAGACGTAAGATTCCATAGTAAATATGAAATCAACCTTACGGACCGTTGGATTATTTAAACCAGAAGATTGGAACTTTTTATTGCAGGGATTATGTAACACTTGTATTAACTGAGAGACAAGAGAAGAGAGAGTCACCTTTAAAACGTTTAAGAAGATTTATTTCTAAACAATTTTAAACAAGACTAACTCTAAGTGATGAATGGATCTGGTATAAATGAGACGTGAGATGGATGTGTGAGTGATGTTCTAATCAGAACTCTCGTATCCGGAGAAGCAAGTCTGAATGATGTTGTGATGTTTTGCTTTTAGCGATGATCGGAGTTTCATAAACACATGAGACGCCATATTTGTCGCTCTACACATACCCGTCAGATTAGACCTCCATACAGATCCAGAGCCGATGAAACCGCATCAGCAGTACGACAGACTAGCCTTTGGATTGTCTCCAGGTAAAAAGCGACAGTTGGTTGACAGCGTCAGATGGACCCGGAGGGTCAGTGAGTTCAGCTTTTATTCTGAAGGGAACCGTTGCTTGGTTGGAAAAATGCAACAGATTTTTGTCCAGCTTGTTGGTTCTTTGCTTAAAAAGGAAGCCCGGGTGGCCGGTCCGATGCTTCGCTTAGCATGCGGTGAACTGAACTTAAGATGGCGTGGGGACTGGTTTTATTAATCTGGATGTTTTGATTTCTGGTCGAATCAAAGGTTCTGATTGGATCAGTAAAAGCAACGTGTCGTGCGTTTACATTACGTGTCATCAGGATATCTTGTGCAACTAGATTAGTCATATTACTTATTAAAACTTACTAATCATAACATTGTTATTTCACAGATTGGTCAACATCTTATTACTGACTAACACTTTGTTTGATTAGCTTTATTAAAAATAGAGTTCTTTGATTTATTAAAAGGAAAGAGTCCTTTATCTTCATTCTTCTCTTGGGCTGGAAAGGAAGCAGTTTAGAAGCGAATGCTTGACCTTGAGGCAGTCTCATGCAGACTAGTTCTGTGTCAGAGGCATCTGTGTGGAGAGGCTAAATAAGCTTCGGTGGAATAGCACCTCCATCACATTACACAGACGTGACAGAAAATGCTATTATTTTTGAAAATTACCAGTTTCATATGCAGGGTAAACATGAAAATAGTCTCCTACACTTTTAGCTTCTGATAGAAAAGAGAAGTGTAACTCTAGGATTAGAAAAGCCTGACAGATCTACGTCACACTGTCACTTAACATTCGTGGACTCGCCCATCTTGGCTCACGACGGGGAAGGCTGTTGTTGCTTTAGCGTCCAGGAAACAGCACAGAACATCTCAGCTAGTAGAAGCTAACTGTTACCATTAGCAACTCCACCACACAGCAGAACTCCTTCGGGCTTGTGTTATTTGTGGAGATAAAACATCAACGTTGCAGAGCATACTGAGTCAGTGGTAGAGTCGTGTTGCTGTTAGCCAATCAGAGGAGAGTTGTCCAAGTATCAGGAAATAAGACTCCAAATCCTGTCGTCTTCTTCCACCCTCTCCTTCAGCTGTACTTTACAGTCTCAAACAGGCACGCCTGAGCTTTTATCCTAGAGTACGACTTACAAGGCATTCATTTCTACTAGAGACCGTTGCAAATGTGTTGAACTATGAGTAAATGTGACTTTTGAAAGCCTTTACTGTAAAAATGCAACAATAAAAACTAAAGGCATAAATAGTTTTCTCATTCTGCATTTATTAACAAACATGCATGCAGAGTTTTCCCTGTATTGTTTTACCAAGGCAGACTTCCTCGGTGTTCTTTCCTCCACCACAACACCAAACGCTGGCAAATTTTGCAAGCGTTCTTTGATTTACCGTACCTCTGCAAATGTTTGTGCAATCAGAATAATTCAAACAGTTTTACAAGAAGAGAGGTTGTCCGTTCTACTCCACGTAGCTTTACTACGGTAAATGCCTTTCAGGAAGTGGGAGAATCGACCTCTCTGTCTCCCCGAAATGCACCGCATCCCCCCACCTCTAAAGGCACTCACTGCTTCTGCCGTGACACTTTTAAAACCCGAGAAAATCCCAGGATGCGTAAAAATGTTGTCACTAGATCCAGGGTCACATGGTCGCGTTTTCTGAAATTGCAGTTTTGGTCGGAAAACGGTAGTTTGTTCAGTCATGTGTGTTTGTTTAGTTCTTTAAAGAGCAAGTCACCCCCTACCAGATTCTTACTCCACTCCCACTTGCTGTTTGAAAAATGCAACAAATGCTGTTGCCTAGCGGACCGAGAGGGCGGAGCCACTAACAAATACACACACTCACGACATTGTGACATCATAATGTACCATCTAACATCATAGTGTACCTCTTAGCCAATAGCGATAGCAGATTTAAATTCAAATGCAGTGCTGAGTTTTTACCTGACGACGGTGCATCGCTGACAGTTTTAGGCAGAATATTTAAACTTGAACTAAGATGAACTAAAATGCCGAGTTATTCACTACACTTGCCTACAGCACGATCAGACACTCGTTTATATAGTTTATCAGCAAAAAAATGTTGATTTGGAGTGACTTGCTCTTTAATTTGTTTTTGTTTTTCAGCTTGGTACCGTGCTGGAGTGATTGAGAAAAGTGTTTTTGCAGCTCTCTGTGTGACAGATGTTAAGAGATGAGAGCGAAAACAAAGAAGAAAAAAAAACTGGGTGGAGCTGTTCAGAGGGAAAATAAAGGAAAATAGGGTCAGAAAAATATGGCATGGTAAGAAAGAATGATGGCGGTGGTGCAACATGTCAGCCAGAAACAGAGGTAGAGGTACAGGGAGAGATGTATTGCTCTATAAATGTGCACGTGTCTGATGCACAACCATCAATTTGGATGACTTGTCTCCCCCGAGGGCCTGCTTTGGCATTCAGGAACCACAGCGAGGGCTCTTAGCTCTCCAGCACTGCAGTTCATTTGGACTCCTCCTTTGGTGGAGCAGCTTTTCTCATTAGAAGCGGTGGCTGAGGCAGAGAGTGACTGCAGCACACCCATTACCTGCCCTTGTCCTCGGGGCTTGACTCTGTCCTGGACCCTCAGAGCCAACGCATCACCACGATGGAGCTCAGACAATCAGCCCCATCAGAGCAGCAGCCTGCTAGCGTACCGGGCTGCTCAGCTTCTCAGAGCGCACTTCCCAGTAACACGCTCCACACAGCACGGCTAATAGATAGCAGGAAAAAATACTTTAAATATTTTATGTGAGAGACTTTTATTTGCTCGGATAGCCTTGGTTCATCTTTGGTCTACTGAGGCAAACAAATACTTAATTATGTTTGCATTTCAGTCCATTTTACTGGCAAGTGCTGTGTTTTTAAACAAACCCATGAAGGCATTTGGATGCATTCCCATTTAACCCCATCTGCGTCGTCCATGGCAACCAGCCTCAGACGTTATTGTACGGAAACATGTCCCTAATGACCTCCCAGCAGTCACCCATGGCAGGTTAAAATGTTGATGGCTGCCTTTATGGTTTCCTTCCCCTCATGAGGGACACAACACCTGTTAAGTGGAACCTCCCTCTCCTGTGTTCAGGCATCCCACCCCCCAGTCAGATAAAGACTTAACCCGTCTGGACATCACCACAAGGTGTAAATAAGAAAATGCAGCGCAAATGTAAAAGACGCTAACGAATAAGAAATTTCATGTGGAAGGCAAAAATCATGCATTGGTGTCTCCACAGTTTGCTCTTGCATGAATAACTGAGTAGAATAACTGAGTGGATGTGAGAGAGAGAGAGGGGGGGGGGCAGAAGGGGGGGTGTATGTTTGGGGGGGGGGGATGTGTGTGTGTGTGTGTGTGTGTGTGTGTGTGTGTGTGTGTGTGTGTGTGTGTGAGCTGCTTTGGCCTAAAGGAATTTCACCTTTGTAAAAAGGAGAGGATGTATCTGTGTGTTTAATTCAGTTCTGGAGCTTTTTTGTAAGCATAGCTCACACACACACTCACACACACACACACACACATTACTGTGTACCATGTTTGATTACACTCACATGTTTCATTTTCTTTGTTTGAAAGTTGAGTGAAAATCCAGACCTGATGTGGTTCAAACAACAGTTTTCTGTTTATTTCCATATTTCTCTTTGCGTTCAGCAGGCCGGGCCTGCTCAACGCCAGTGACCCAGGCTACCCCTGGTTAGCAGACTCTTGGCCAGCCACCAGCCTGCCTGTCAACAGCAACTCCGGGGGACCGAACGACCTCAGTAACTTTGCTCGAGGAGGTAAGTGCCCCGATGGCCCAGGTTTGCTCGAGGAGAAAAGCTAAAAACTTGTCTTTTTTCAACCAAAGCTTTATTTTTGTTCTTCTCTGTCCGCGTATGCATATAAAACACGTGCATACGAGCATATTTCATGTCTGTGGACGTGTTTATACATCACGTCAGAAGGCGGCGTGAGCATTAACGGCAGGGGACTTTGCTGTCGCCAGGTTGAGTGATGGCAGATAGTCCAGCGTGGTGTCATTGCCGATACTTCAGATACTTCAGGTGTGAGGAGAGAGACAGGCGGCGGGGGGGGGGGGGTTTGAAAGGATGGTCTTGAGCAGCCAGTCGTGAAGGACAGACGCAGCTTGACTGCCGCAGATGTGGACACTTCCGCCGCGGCTCTACATCATCTCCCCTTCAGTGGGCATGCAAACCAAGCGCTAGGAGAGCCTGGTTGCTCTTTCCATCTCCTCCCTTCTGTTAGCACACACACACACGCACACACACACACGCACATTAATGCAGTATTTTAATTTGAAACAGAAGGTACCTTGAAAACGAGAGCAAGAAGGATTAAATTCCCTTGGTTTTCCCCACAGATCTTCCCGTTGGACAAGGGGATAAGACGGGCACCATGCTCTCCGATGGAGCCATCTACAGCAGCATAGACTTTACTACCAAAGCCAACTACAGCAGTCCTGGTCAAACCTCCCAAGCCACTCCGTATGCCACCACTCAAATTCTCCACTCCAGCAGCATCCACGAGCTGGCCGTGGACCTGCCCGATGCCCAGTGGAAGGCCTCGCTGCAGGCTAAGCAGGAAATGGCCAACCTGGGCTATTCTCTGCCCGACAAAAACTCCTGCAACAACAGTAAGTCACTCCGTGGAGGCGTGTCGGGAGTGAAGGGGTCAGCAGCCCGGTGTAGATTTAGCTAAACCTTTTTACCATCAACCTCCTCAAAGCTTTGTTTTTTTGTCGGTGATTGAAAGTTTTTATAAGAAAACGGCCGTTTGGTTCCGGAACGTTTCCACGAATCATCTGGGAAGCCTTTCTGACCTCAGGGGGGAGGGAGGGGGTTCCTGAGTTTTTTTATTTTTGCCAGAATTTCTCATTTGGGTTTCAGTTCAAGGTTGGATAAACTTCCATGAATGATAGCGTAGATAAGCCCTTAATCCCCTCCGTTCAGAGTTTTAATGGCGTTTTCCTCCTGTAGTTTATGACGAATCGCCAATAAATTCTTTTCCTTCCAATAATAAATTTACTCACCTTAGATTTGAAACAGGAAGTGGGATTTAGCATCTTCCTGCTTTGCAGCCTATGATCTCAGCTTTTTCATTTTGTCCAGCGTTTTCTCAGAAATGTAGTTAAATCTTTATTAACTTGAACGAACGAAAAAGTCCAGATTACAAAAATGTTTTTCAACTTTACATCAAAGCCGGTGAGTCTAGCGTGCATTTCCTGCTGCTCACACATCAGGAAGTGACTGAAATGTGAGGTCAGGCGCGTTTCGCTGAGTCTACGTCGCTTGATTTATCCCGCTTGCTCAATGCTCTAACTGCATGTTTGCATGTGCTTGTGCTAACTGCCAATCACCTGACGCCACTGTGATTTTTGCCCTTTAACCCCCACTGTAGCCCTCCTTTTCATTCCCGACTACCGATTGGCCGACGGATTGTCTAATAGACTCCCGCACAACCAATCACAAGATTTCAGCACCACCAGCTCTCACAACAGCTCAGAGCGAAGCGGCAGCCTCTCAGGTTGGTTCACGCGGCGGAGATTAAAGCAGTGTGGGACACGCTGCTCCCCAACCCAGCTTTATGATTGACTGATGTCTTAATTGCTTTATTGATCTGTTATTTGCATGTGCAGACCTGACATGGAAGACATTTTCATCAACACCCCCCCCCCCCCACCCCCACCGATGAAGTTCCCTCAGCTGTCCCCTTGCGTCCAGCTGATTGTTCTACATGTCCTCACTTGTTTCCCACTTCTGAGTGGTTGTGTTTGTTTCTGTTGTGTGTTTCAATGTTGTGATATATGATAACAGCTGGCAGCCTGTCGGAGCATAGAGGAATTCTAACGCAGTCGAGTCTGAATGTGGCTAGAGGAGCTCAGGCTGGGTTTCTGCCACCGTGGCGGGTCATCGTCTCTCGCTGTGTGAGTGAGCAGACAGGAGCAGGGGCAGAGGGAGTCTTTCAGACAGAGTGGACTAGTTCCCGAGACACCATTAGAGATGCTTGGCTGGGTAAAGTGGCAGACATGCCTCCCTTTTCCTCCCGCGTCCCCTAATGGTGGACGACTACACTAAAACCCATGTTGGGAGAGTTACAATGTCATTTATAGGGCACCAAGGAAGCCCTCAGCCTGCCTCCCTTCCACTCTCCTCTTTTGTCGTTAGCAGTCGCTGCCTTAACTGGCGTCTGATTCAGGGCTCTGCCACACGGTGGACTGGAAAAGGGCTCGTGCCGTAAAGGTGTGCAGGTTACTGCAGCGCTGTGGATAGGCCCTGACATAGAAGGAAGGGAAACAAAAAACATACGCTCAATCTCCAAATGTAAAATTAGTCTCTGATGTTTGGAATTTTTCAAAAATTGACTTTCATTATTATTATTATCTCTTATTATTATTTATGAACAGGAAAGGTACAGAAAAATATGTATAAAACCCAATTTTATGTGAGCAACTCTCAAGCTGAAAACATGAAATCCTAATGTTTTATCTTAGGTTTTATCAAGCTCAGCTTTGCTGTAAACCCCCAATGACCTGCTGAATGACATACTTTGGCACCCATTTGCTAAACAACTAACGAGTTCATTAGAGGGGACATAACATGAGAACCCCACTTTTTTGTCCATTAACACAATGTGTTTCACATTTTAAGTGTCTAAGTGAGCTAAAAAGGCTTATATTATTCACTGGAGTTGCTATTTAGATATTTAACAATTAAGTTTTGGGCATATTTGTCCACCCGTTCAGTTTTTCAAATTATCTAATGCATCAGAAATTTATGTCGTCACGATAACTACCAAATATGGTCATGGCCCTCTGGCAAAACACAGAGCCAATCTGCCATTTTTTCTTCTCGCTAAGATTTTTTGTAGTCCTATTGGAAAATTGCAGAATGTCTGGTTATTTTAGCCACGCACAGCTCAGAACTGTTCCTTGTTTTAAGGAAGGGTGGTGTGGCGGTTTTTAAAACCCAGAGGCTGATGACACTACTGCTAATAAAAAGCAGAAGAAAAAAGTAGTGTGTGTGTGTGTGTGTGTGTGTGTGTGTGTGTGTGTGTGTGTGTGTGTGTGTGTGTGTGTGTGTGTGTGTGTGTGTGACTACAGACAAATGCATGAGAGAGTTAGCAGCCTTGAAACAGCTTGATGAACAACTCTCCCCACGTTTTAAAAATGCTAATATAACGTTTCTGCTACGCTAAATAAAGATTTCTCTGTAGAACTACAAAGCCCGACTGGGGGAGGAGAGTACAGGTCTGCACTGTGGAGGGGGGCGGAGTTTATAGCTCCTTCTCCAGATTTAAAGAGACAGTACCCAAAAACGGCTCATTCTCAAGACTCTCCCCAGAACAGGGGTGGATGAGTAGCCTGGCAAGCCAGACTAAATAAACGTATTATTTAGTCTGACAACGCTCCACTGACGGCTCTCGGTTGTGGGGCGGGTTCTACCGTTGTCTTTCAAATGATCTCCGCATGCTACTGGACAATGAATGTGACATACTCACCGCAACAGCTATCGGTAAATGAGGCGGTCCGCAGTTGAAGAAGGAGAAAACACATAATTTTTTCTTTAAAAAAGCACTTAAATACATCTATCTGCTCCTGATTCTGATGAAGCCTAAGTTCTAATAGTCAAATTGATGTAAAAGCAGTTTCAAACGAGCTGTCGCCATCTTGTTTCACTCTGTTGCATCATCCCACCCACCAGGCATATAGAGTGCCCTGATTGGCCCACAGAGCAGATAAAGTTCTGTGATTTGTTCACTCAGCAGATAGAGCACTTTGATTGGCCCACTATTATGGACCAATCACAGCTCTTTATGTGTTTGAAACCCCTCTAGAGAGCTGTGATTGGCCAGCCAGAATTCTGTTGGGGGCTGCAGAGGTTCCAGTGGAGCATTCCTAGACCAAACTTTGCAAAGCAAGAATTTGGACTGGTTCACTAGGCTAGTAGATGGGGGTCTGTAGAGCAACAATACTGAGGAAATCAGACCAAAGAACTGCAATTCCACTGTATTTAGACCCCAACTGAAGGATTTAGGTGCAAAAAGGAATAACTTAAAAGTATGTTATGTCTCCTGTAATGACATGGTGTTGCAATATTTATGACAAAAACAAGGTGTTTTTGATTAAGTCAAATAGCTGTTTTTACCTCCCAAAAGTTACAGATAGATTTATATCATTTTATAAAAGTGCTGTAAAAATCCTCTGGTTTGGACACCCTCTTCTTAAACGTGTTTAAGTCGTGTTGTAACACGATGCAACCCAACCAAATTAATGAACTTGTGTTATAAACCATGTGCTGTGGCTCACAGCAGCAAAAGGAATCTGAATTAGCCCAAGCTAGCTTTGATGCCGAGTTCTACCAAAGTAAAAAGTCAGCGTGTGAAGGAGTGGGGGAGTGTAAAGTTAAAGTGCTTTGCTCGCCCTCTAAGGAGATGGAGGGAATAATGAATGCCAGGTCTGAAGGAGGAGAGGAGGATGAAAAGGAACAGAAATAGAGCAGCTTTCATGACAGCACGGATCTCCGCTGGGGACATGAGGCTGCTCATTAAAACATTTCTTAGTGTAGGGAGGAAGAGGTATCTGGTGTTTTCTGTAGCAGTCCGAGACCCTGAAGACTTCCTGCTCCTCCACACGCTCACCCAGACCTTCGTTTTCATGTGACCTTGTGCTTCAGCGCATCTCATACATGCTGCATCCCACCTCGTTGTGTAACTTGTAACCTTTAGATAAATGCAAACACACACTCTAAAAAATATATTCTTGGCCCCAGTAAACACCAGCTAAACGTTTTATATAAAATCTAACTAAAACTTATGAAATTCCAACTGTTAGTTATCAAAATGGTTAAACAAAAATCAAATGTAGTGAGTGTAACCCTAAAACAAGCAGCTCCAGTAAACCGTACGTAGGCAGCAAAACCCCCCGTGTGCCATTTAGGCTGAAGAAGAAAAAAGACGGAAACACCACATACGTCGTATAAACCAGACAACCCATGGGGTGGGGCTGCCTATTGGAGCTGGCGGAGCAGCGGACCACCATCTTGGATGGGTCTCCATCTGCCCCAGTGCATTTATTTCTACTGAGGAAGATGCTTACCAAACTAAAAAACACATTTTATTATGCTTTCTCACAAAATCACACATATGGCATGATAGTTATAATATAAATATATAACATAAAATCCTAACAGGTAGAGTAGATAGAGTAGATGTAACTCAGTGAGATCCCCCTGAATCAGTCCATTGACCGAAACAGTTTGGATTAGGGATTCACTGGCAGTGCACGGGCCGCCGCATGTCACTCAAGAACTCCCCTCCGATTGTTGGGTCGTATCAATGAAGAGTAAAAGAGTAGAGTAGAGAAAGATGAAAAAACAGAGTAAGGAAAAGAAAAGTCAATAGTAATCCCACATGTTCTGTTTTCAATATTACTCCGGTTGTTGCAAGCGTAGGCTGTACAAAAATGGGTGTAGTTGCTCACTCTGCGTCGACTTCAGTTGGGTTGGAGCGTGAGGGACCCACCCAATATGGCAGTGACGTGTTGTCCAGTGGGTAGTCTACACAGCCTCTTTTATAAGACGCACGATGCCGGCAAATCGGCATAATATTACCGCAATGGTATGTCTATAAACGCGGCATGGCGTTTGCGCGAATTTTGCGGCATTCGTTCCGCCTCGCCTAGTAGTAATATTGTGGTAATGGTCTGTTATATGATGACGTGGGGAGCTATTGCTGAGCTCCGGCTGGCAAATTTATTGAAAATGAAAGTAAACACAGGCAATAAGGTTTGCTTTTTGAACAAAATCAGCTGAGATGGCACACTGGAGCGCCGCAGCGCTCCACGAGCCTCTCTGTTAGAGCTGAAGCTCAGATCGCCAGAGTCTGCACAGGGACTGATGGGGACAGACACCTTTAGGAGCTGCTTGTTAAAAAAAATGTAACGATCACAGCTTCAATCGCAATAAAAAGCAAGTTATGTCCAAGATAAACGGAAGTCTGCAGCAGTGCAGAGACCGCCCCCATACCCCCTTTATGCCGCCATCACCTAATCTTTTATAAAATTGCCACGATTGCGCCACATTACCGCCACGGTCTGATCTTATAAACGACCTTCATCCTCCCCAGGGAGCCACGGCAAATCCCGTTTTGCAAGCGCTATGGTCCTGTAAAAACAGCTTATGTATTCATGTCCATGGTGCAATAAAACCAAGATTCTTGGCCACAGTAGTCATCAAATACATAAATACAATTTCTATGTAAGATGTAACTAAACTTTATAAAATCAAAATTCTTAACACAAGTAAAATTGACATAAACAAATTTTTTTTTTACTTTTTCTTTGACTTCATGCAAAAAAATTAAAGAAAATTTGCGTCATTAAACTACACGAAATCTCCTTTTTTGGCCGACCCTTTTTTCCAGTGCATATGACTTATTTCCATCTCAAAAATCTGATCTGTCCGTGTAGCTTTTTCTTAGAGAGTCTGCTCTGTGGCTTCTCCCTTCAGTACGGAGGCGAACAACGAAAACAAAACGAACTCGAAGCAGTTCAGGCCCGAAGTTATAGGCTGGGAGCGCCCAAACCTCGATTAAAAATACCAGAAGCCGAGTCTATGTTTAGCATCAGCTCTTTTTTGAAGACGAATCACAGTTACATAAAAGGACACGAGCATGTAATAGTTGTGTAGCTTCTAGCCACAGCTCGTCTATACTTCATATTTGGGTTGAGCTGTTGTCGTTCTGGTGCCAGACCATCCGTTCCCAGAAGAGGCTCATTTACAATATTGATGGCTGGTCCTGTGTAGAGGGACTGGGGATGATTGAACAATCACGTCGGCTCACCATTTACCAGCAAAAGTCAAGCATGGCCCAGAGGCGCGATTAGAAAACCCAATTACTTTCAGACTATACTTACACCATGGTGCCTTCTGCCTTGGGCTTACAGTTGTTTCTCTTATTACTTCCTTTCTTTATTAATCTTATTCTGACACCAACCTCTATCCACGCGTACCACCAGGCTTTTTAAAATTATTTTCTTTAACTTTTACTGAAAGAAAGAGAAAAAATGACCAAAAAGTTTTTACAGAAATAGGTAAAAACAGATGTTCTTGGACCCTAGTCCAGCCAGGACACCGTTTGGTATTTCTCTGCTGTTTAGCTCTCATGAAAAAAATCAATATGAATGAAGCTCGCTGTAACTGTTAGCTGCTTTTGATGACAGTGATGGACTTGTGACTGTGCTTGGGTGAAGTTCTTTGATCAAATTACATCAGATTTCATGATGTTTCATTCCACAAGATGTATTTTTCAGGCCTTTGGCAGGAAAGGCGAAGCCAACATTTGACAGTTACAAATATGCTCAGCAGATATTTCCAAATCTGGTTTAGTGTAGCTGGTGGCGCCAGCCTGAAGTTGTTTCTGAAGGCAACTCTTTCTTCCAAGAATTCATACAGCATGTGCAAATATTGGAAAATACATCTCCACAGTTTCTTCAAAGGGGAAATTTGTTTCATGTTTCAGAAAGAAAAACATGAATTTGTTTTACACTAACTGCTAAATTGTGTTGGTTACTCAATATGGATACCGTGTCCTTAAGCTGACCGACGCATCAAACAAAAACGTAGGGCCTGTCACGAGTCTGGACAGTGGAAATGGCTCCACTGTGACAGATGACAATACAGATGGTAAAAGGTTCTCCCCCAAAGTTTTGTTTACTATTTCCTTTCTGTTTTTATCAATTTCACCACAAAAAAAAATTAATGAAGGCAAGATCAGGATAAAAGGCACACGGTTAATGATCAGCATCAACAGCAACATCATTCTGAAAATCTTTCATTTTCACATCGACATGGGGTGGCTCCAAAAATTCTGTATTCTTTATTCTAATCTCCATTTGTTCAAATATATATTTGAAAATTTGGTAACACGTCACTATACGGGTCCCTTCATTAACATTAGTGCATTATTAAGCCTTAATAAACTATTAAGGACAGAAATAAACTATTAAAATTCACTTGAGCCAGCCTGAAAGCACCATTTCAGGGACAAATCGAGCGCCTGCCTGGGTGTACGTGCTCAGAAATGGCTCGGTACAGAAGAAATATGATGGCAGAATAAATTATGGCGCACTTTGTCCGACCAAAGCTACGGTCACGGTACGCTGATGTTTTAAAGTTCTGTAAGGGACGACTTTGTATGGAGACACAATGGCTGAAAGGACATCATATTTTCCCCTTTACTTCCCATCCATCCATCCATTTTCAGCCACTTATCCGGAGTCAGGGGCAGCAGCCTAAGCCAAGAGGCCCAGACTTCCTTCTCCCCCAGCTCCTCCAGTGGAATCCCAAAGCGTTCCCAGGCCACCTGAGAGACATGGTCCCTCCAGAGTGTCCTGGGTCTTCCCTTGGGTCTCCTCCCAGTTGGACGTCCCCGGAAAACCCCACTAGGGAGGTGTCCAGGAGGCAGACCAGATTCCCGAGCCGCCTCAACTGGCCCCTCTCTACGTGGAGGAGCAGCAGATCTATTATGAGCTCCTCCCGGATGACCGAGCATCTCACTCCATCTCTAAGGGAGAGCTCAGAAACTCTGTGGAGAAAACTCATCTTGGCCGCTTGTATCCGCGATCTAATTCTTTCGGTCACTACCCAAAGCTCGAGACCAGACCGGTGTAACACCCGCATCACTGCAGACGCAGCACCAATCCTCCTGTCGATCTCACGCTCCATCTTTCCCTCGCTCGTGAACAATACCCCGAGATACCTAAACTCCTCCACTTGGGGCACGACCTCATCCCTGACCCGGAAAAGGCATTCTAGCCTTTTCAGACTCAAGACCATGGTCTTGGATTTAGAGGATCTGGTTCTCATCCCAGCTGCTTCACACTCAGCTGCAAACCGCTCCAATGAGAGTTGGAGATCACGTTCTGATGAAGCCAACAGGACCACATCATCTGCAAAAAGCAGAGACATGATCCTCAGGCCACCAAAAGAGATGCCCTCCACACCTTGGCTGTGCCTAGAAACCCTGTCCATAAATGTTATGAACAGAATCGGTGACAAAGGGCAGCTTTGGCGGAGTCCAACTCACCAGGAATGGACCAAGCTCAGGCACCGTTCATACAGGGACCTAACAGCCTGTATCAGAGGGCCTGGTACCCCATACTCATGAAGTACCCCCAAAAGGCCCCCTAGGGGATGCATTCCAACGCCTTCTCCAACGACCCCCCCCCCCCCACCCCCCACCCCGAAATTTCCCAGAGCTTGGGAAATTATATTTGACAAAAATAGCAATTTAAAAATAAGTCACTATGTGATGTATTTCCTAATTGTTACCATAATGTTATTGATATAAATCAAAAATAAGCAGCTAAGGTCTGTTTTTTATCAATATTTTTATTATTCTTTTTAGTTTACATTAATATTAGCCCTTTAGAGGTAATAGTTTCTATTTTCAGGGGGGGGGAATACTGAATTACAACTACAACCAAAAATCCTTAAGGAAAAATTACAATTATTAGATAACCTGATGCTGATGAGAGTAAATATTCTGCAAGTGAACTTCAGTCTTTGGGAACTTTTTTTTTTTTTTTACTGTGTACCTCCACCTGAAACAAGATTCAAGATTGAAGTCAAATGTCTTCTAAAGAAAATAAAAGTGTTTCTACCACAGTGACCAAATCGTATAAAACTTAGTATTGACCCGGCTGGCAGATTTATAAAGATGGATGTGACAGAGGAGAATTTGGTGTTGGAGGGTTATGAGTAGAAATAGATGGGGTTAGCGGCTCTCCGGTGTAATAAAAGAAATGAAAGTAGTAATAGACTCAGTGAATTCCATTAGGGACATACTGACACTACACAAGCCATTCATTATAATGATGCTGTGAAGTGAGATATTTCATTGTGGAACCCAAAGCCCGGTGTTAAAGGGGACACTGAGGGATGGGTGGAGCTCAAAGGTCTTCCTCAGTCGCATTAACCGTCGTTCCCCTCTGTTTCTATGGAGATTTGAGGCTTTTCAGCCAATCAATCAATGCAAGCATGCTTTTCATCAGGCAACCTTGAGATTTTCTATGCAAGCTGTGACAGGCAAGAGCCCATTGAAATCTTGTGCTTGAAATTGTGTATGACTTTCCGGTGGAATGCTGGAAGTGAGTGCAAATGGATTTGTAATCTAAGCAGCATGTTTGCTCCAAATTGAGTTTCTCCAGAATGCACATTTATCACATGCCAAAAGCAGCTACAGTTATTTGCAATGCTATCCCACTTGTATATTAGATTTTAATTGACTTTCTGATTAAATCTAATTTTCAGTGATTGTGTTTTTTTGTTAAATGAATGATCTCCTTTTTGTAGGCGGAAAGGGAGGAAAGAAGAAAAAAACCAAGGCTGGCTCTAAACCCACTAAAGCTAATGGGTCCAGCTGGGCCAATGTTCCCCTTCCCCCTCCTCCTGTTCACCCGCTGCCTGGTACTGAGATGGACCTTTATCCCAACGAGCACCACGAAGGAGGAGGGTATGTCTGCTGATGTCCACAACACAGACACGAGTTTCTTTTGTAGCTTGGTACACGATATATCTTTATGCTATACAAACTTAACTGGGATTTATTGATAAAATATTGAATCTTGGGACTAATAAAGCTAGATAAAGCTAGAAGAACAACAGAAACTTCAAGTTGTAAGTGCATCAAATATGGAATTTACCATGGTTTAACCTGTAAAGGTTTAATTTCACATCTATTTAATGAACCATAAGACATGAAATTCCATAATAAATATGAAATCAATCTTGTGGATCTTTGGGTACTTTTAACCAGAAGATTGGAACTTTTTATTGCAGGGATTATGCAACACTTCGTATTAATTTAGAGACAACAGAAGAGAGAGTCAAGTTTTAAAAGTTTAACGATTTATTACTAAACAAATTAAAACTAGACTAACTTTAACACTAAATGTATGGTGTAACTAAGGTGAATGAGACGCAGAATGGTATAGTGTGGAATGTTGTTCAGAACCAGCAAATCCGGCGAAACGATTAGTTCTGATGGGAGTGAAGGTGATGTCTTCGCGCTAAGCTTTGATTCGGAGATTCATAAACACATAAGACGCCATCTTTTCACTCCATACATACCCGTAGAATGAGACCTCCGTACAGATCCAGACTACCAGGTCCTTGAACCTCTCTTTCGGTACCGGAGCCGATGAAACAGCGTCAGCAATACGGCAGACTAGTCTTTGGATTGTCTCCAGGTAAAAAGCGACAGTTGGTTGACAGCATCAGATGGACCTGCAGGGTCAATGAGTTAAACTTTTATTCTGAAAGGAACCGTTGCTTGGTTGGTAAAATGCAACAGATTTTATCCAGCTTGTCGTTGGTTCTTTTGGCTGAAGAGGAAAGTTACGGATTGGCCACTCCGACACTTCTCTAGAACGCTTTGAGCTGGGGTTAAAGATGACGTGGGCATAGTTTTATACTTCAGATGTTTTGGTTTATGGTCAAATGAAAAGATGACGGATTTACCAAGCACCACCAAAACCACGCCTCCGTCAGATCTGGCAGATTCTGATTGGATCAGTAAAAGCAATGTGTCATGTCTTAACGCTACGTGTGATCAGTCTCTAGTGGAAACATTTAAAGTCATATTACTTATTATATTCTATAGGATTATAATAAAGTAAATAATATTTTCATTTCACAAATTGGTTCACATTTTATTATTGACAAACACTTTGTTTGATTAGCTTTATTAAAAATAGAGTTCTTTGATTTATTAAATAGAAAGAGTCCTTTGTCTTCATTCTTCTCTTGGGCTGGAAAGAAGCAGTTTAGAAGCAAATGCATGACCTTGAGCAACATCTCATGTAGATTAGTTCTTGCTGAGGAGAGGGGGAAATGACTTTTAGGTGGAAAACAATCATCTCATTCCGTTACAAACCCAAATCCTTTTTTTTCTGAATTTTCTCACTAAATCCAGTTCATAATTTAAAATAAAAGATATTTCATGAATTAAACAGATGTTAATTTTAATAATACAGAGCATTTTCCTGCTCCTCTGCCCTACTGGTTGAAAGTGGAATTACAATGGTCATAAATAACCCTGCAGCAGCCTGCTGTAGCTAGCGCTAGCAACAAGCTAACACTAACATTAGCCAACTAATACTAAAATAAACCACAAAGTAAAAAAGATCCACACTGTTGGACAAATATATTATTACTTACAAGTCCACTCACAACAAAGCCAGGTCACCATCAGTCTGTGATTTTGTAGCCTCCTTTATATCCCTCAAACTACCGTAGGCCGTGCCGATGTTCACTCTGGTTTTAGCTCTTTGCTTCACCTCCAAAGACATTACTCTCTTACTTTTAGGCTCCGCCATGAAGCCAACAGAAACAGCTTCTCATTTTTCTTCTTCTTGTGCTTTTTATTGACGATTGGTGAACTGAAAAATGTAGCTGCTAGCATTACAGCTAACAGCCTTAAAGCGTTACCCTTGGACACCTACCCGCTCCACACCGCTTGGTAAGAGGGCTACAGAATGGTGTCAAGTTTCTAACTCAACAATCACTGAGATCAATGTTAAAACTAGTTTAAAGTTTAAAAAAACTATCTTTAAACAATTTGATCCAAACACTGAGCTAGTAAGTTCATTTCAAAAATGAAGTTTCTTCCTTGTCTGGCCTCATGTAAGAACTTCCACATGGAAGGGTTGCAGTTCTTGGGGTTTAACAACTTCAGCTGCATCCAGTTTAGTCCTTCACTCGCTGTCTGTGCTAATTTTGTAAAATAATCTAACGTCTCCTTCTCATAACAACCATAATGCCACCTGACTGCACCTTCCAGGGACAGAAACTGAGCTCTCAGTGTGTGCAGTTCCTCTTCTGAGTGTCTCAGCAGTAAATCTCAGATCTTGTTTCTTATTAGCTGGAACATGCACGATACATTTCTGTAAAAAAAAATAACAGTCTCCGCTTTTCCTTCCCTATAGCTAATTGCTGTGCTGCTGCAGAGAAGTGTGTGTTCCACAGGCAGCCTCGTATAGGTGCACATCAAAATCCTTGCCATTTCTATTTTTGTTTTGGGCTGTCTCCCTGAAAAACTAAATAGAAAATACAGTCTCTTATAGCTTATACGATTAGGCACAGATGGTTTATTTCCTTGCCATAAAGATCAAATGTGCAGAAGCGATGAAGAAAACTCCTCTTGTCACCTGATGCTTTTCAATATTTCAATTAGTGAAGTGGATCTAATAGAAGCTCATACACTTTAAGTCTATACTAACAGCAGCTCATCTAAGTGATTCTGAGCGTCCCTCTCGTTGGTGGGTGGGTGGGGGGGGGGGGGTATCGGTGTTACGTCCTCTCACCTCCATTTCCAGTCTGGGAGAGTCATCTGCTTTAATAGGCAATCTGGCAAATGAAGAGTCCTCTGCTCTGTAAATCTCAGGCTGCTGTTAATGGCAGCAGATTAAAACAGTTATGTCCTATGGAGTGTGCACCGACAAATTTCTTTAATGAACATTTTCTTTATGGGTGGTATTATTTCAGCATGTATAAGCACAGCTATGAGGAAGTGAGGCCTGGCGGGGCTGCCGTATAACAAATCTTTACTGAAGTTAGACAAGGTCGCGCAGCCCAGAACAGAGTGTTCCAAATCAATACCAACATGTTTGGACTGATTATTGTAGAAAGGAAAATCTAATACTAAAAGGAGCAATATGTAAGAATTCTACAGTGGAAAAAAGTCACCAAACAGTTTGACGTCTCAATCGCGTTGGAAGGAAGGTTACACCAAAACAGATTTGTTTCTCAGCAGTCTGGGGCGTGTCCGTTTTTGTCCTTTCAAAAAAGCTAAAGAGGGACATAGTCATTGTTTACAGTCTGAGTTTGCGAGTTTTGCAGAGTCTGCGCCGAGCTAACGTTTCAGCGCCAGCATTTATAATTTGACATTGGCCAGAAAAAAGCTCCGGAGTTGTTTAAAGAACTGAAGCCAGTAAACAAGAGCGACCCAGCAGTTATCTCTTGTGCCCCCAAGAAGACACGGCATCTTTCTGTTTTACTCAAATATCAGGTAAAAAAAAAGGCTAGAGGATTACTTTGAGCTAACAATGCTAACGGTGAAATAGTCAGCTCTAAAAATGTCTAAAGCTACTTTCATTAATTACCAAATACTTAGTATTAGAGTGAAATACGTATATGTTTCTACTAATCAACGTACAGAGTACGACTCATCTTCATTCATCATCTAGAAACCATAAATGGCAAAAGTCATGAAACTCACGAACAGGAAGGAGAAAGTCTCTCGTGTTTTAAAAATTGGGTGCAGTAACCAAATTTGACCACAGGATATTGTTCTTTCTTCATTCTTACAAAACGCACCTTTGAAGTGACCGTGTGTATTTACCCTGGCAATAGTGGGCAGTACATACCTAAAGCATTGTAAGCAAGTGGTATTTTGTGTTCAAGTAAGACCTTGCGAATAATTGGCCATTTGGGCAAAAATACCTGGTAGCGCAACCTCCGGCAAAATGTGTAAATATGTTAAACAACAACTTTTATGAGTGGTGAAAGTTTTGTAACCGTTTGTTACAAATCAGTAAATGCATTTTGTCCTCACGGGCTTCCGCAGAAGCAACATGGCGTCTAATATGATGTCGCCCAGAGACTTGGACCCGCTCCCATGTTTTTAGAAGACATTTTCATGGTTATATGTAATGAAGCCGCCAATATTTTTCGACAACTGGGCAGCATTTAATTCATTTTCAACGTTTTAATGGATATTTCCGGAGATTGACGTTAAAATCTACACGTTGTGTCTTTAGGACCGAGCAGCAATGACCGTCAGATGCATACCGTGATATTGCTCTTTTACCTCAGGTACGAGAGTGACACTTGGGGGCCACCCATGCCTGTGCAGACATACCTTCACCAGGGTATGGAGGATGAGCTGGAGGAAGAGGAGGAAAGAGTCCCCACCCCACCCATCCGAGGGGTTGCCTCCTCCCCAGCTGCCGTATCATTTGGACAGCAGTCCACAGCCACCCTTACTCCTTCTCCTCGGGACGAGATGCAGCCAATGCTCCAGGCCCATCTGGACGAGCTGACCAGAGCGTACCAACTGGACATGGCTAAACAGACGTGGTAAATTTGGATAATTGTCCATCTTTCTATCTGTTTATGTTGGTATACTGTTTCGTTTTACCGTGTGTACTGTAGCTCCTGTTTATTGTTGCCAGGATTTATTCTGGTCCCACAGAATTCCTGGTGCCAACTGTGTGCACAGTGGAGATAAACCCATTAATCATTCCGTTTTAATGGGCCCGCACTCCCACTTAAAGCAACTACTATATTTTGCTCACTCTAACAGACACAATTTCATACTCGTGGTTGTTTACTCCCTCTACACATTCTGCATGCCATTGTTGTTGTGCTCATGCAAGTCAGATGAAGGCCATGCTTCATTCTGTCAACAACGCAGAGCGAACGAGGGACCGGCGTTCATTCATAACAGTGAAGTGGGTTGTTGGAGGTGTGTGTGGGGAGGGGGAGGGGGGGCTGGGACACCTTGTCAGGAAGGAGATGTCATGTTACCCAGTAATGACTATGTTGGTTAGAGAGCATCTCTGACAACGCCAGAGGGCCGGTAATTACAACCGATTCCCAAAGAAAACCACATCAAAGACTCGCACTGCTCTTACAAATGTGGCTGTCGCCGGAGCACGCCGCCGCAGAGGTGACAGCCATGTGTCGACGGGCCCAGAGAGCATGCCTTTGTGCCATCGTCAAGACGCAATTAGCAGGTCATTGTGTTAGCACGCAAGGCGACATTTTGAATCACTAGATTTGTCGAACAAGTCACCCGTTAACGTGGCACATCTCTCAAAAATCTGAAAATTATCTCCAGATTCCCCACGTGCATTCCTGTCTTCACCTTCTTTCTGTGCCCTAAAAACATTTCATTCTAGTTCCGGCTCCTCTTAGAAAATGTCTTCATGTTTTCCCTCCAGGCACATCCAGGGAGGCTCTCTCCCTCCTCTGGCTCCTGCTCCACCGGTGGGCTACGTGTCAAGCACAATGGTTTCCGATCTGGAGACTGACCTGCCTGATGAAGAGGACGACGACAACGATGAGGAGGAGGATGAGGGCTACGGAGCCAGGCATCCCCGTGGTATTGAGCACACACCGGGGTCTAGCATAGACAACCTGGACAGCTCTTTGACAGGTAAGACTGTTTGGTTGTCATTTCATGTAAACCTCCTATGAATATTTGATTTTGCTGACACTTTTTATCAAGCAAAACCCACCCGAGTGCCTCTGTTGTTGCAGCTTGATGCACAGTAACCGGGTGGATGTTCTACACACTCCTATGTGATCTTTTTTACATGAATTTGCTTATGAAGTTAAGTTTTTAAGCACTTTGTTGCAGAGTGTTGGGAATTACAATTATCATATCTGAAATAGAGATAAGAAAGTCCATGAATTTTAAACAGTATAGTGAGAGGGAAACGAGAAAGACGAGGAGGTAGAAGCTGGGGGAAGAAGGGCTGCAATTTAACTGGCACACAACTCCAGATGCAGCGCCACCCGTATCTTCCCAATGAGATTTGAAATAAATTTCATGTGCAGCATATTCCATTCCAGACCAGGGGCACCATTTCAATTTTTACAACCTGCTGAAAACTTTTATAGCCTTCTACTTGGGGAGGGGGGACGTCTGAAGGGCGCTACACCACAGCGACGGAGCGGGCTTCTGGATTGCTGTCCTCATACAGACTAAAGCCGGGCGGACACTGTGCGACTTTTTCACTCGTAGCACTCAGCTTCAGCTCAAACTGTACGACTTCCTCGCAGGGCAGATCTCACGAGTCATGCGCTCACACTGCACGTCTGGTAGCAACACGTCGGCCCTAAAAATATGCTAAAAATAGCAGTTTTTACTCAACACGTCAGACTTTTTTGTCTTGTTTTGCCTGCTGTCCTTCGGGAGTGCTGCAGGAGGACACAGGGATTTATGGGGGTTGGATGAGGAAAACGAAATAAAGAAAGTAAATCTGTGTTTTGTGATCAGTTTAATTTGACATGAACATGACAAACACGCTTTCTTGACAATATTTGTGAGTAAAAAAACGTGTAGAAACAAAAACGAACAACGTGTGTTATTAGGGAAACAGCGGGCGAGCGGTGTTGATGCAGGATTGCGCATGCACCGTGAGCGGTTCTGATACTTTTTGGGTCGCAGCCGCTCGCAGTGCCGCTTCAACAGCGCAACACCCTCACGAGGGACAAGCAAAATTTCAAATAAGCCAGAAGTCCGTGCGAGCTCACGATTGCTGATCGGTAGCTGGTCACATGGTGTTAATCGCCTCTCGTAACCCCCTGTACACTACACGACACTCAGCGCAAAACTCGCCCCGACCTCGTGGATTCTCGCACGAGTGGAAAATCGGCTCAACAAAGTGAAAAAGTCGCACAGTGTACGCCCGGCTTAACGGGAAAACCCAAGAGCAGTGTCAGGAGGAAACGCTCAAGTTATCTGACAAAATCCTCAAATCTCTAAAACCGGGTTTCTAAACCCTGGTCCTCAGCGCCCCCCGTCCTACGTGTTTTCCATGTTGCCCTTTCAAACACTAGTGTTTCTCTACTGCCACACACCTGACTTAAGTTCATGACTGATTAACATGCTTCTGCAGCACTTGATGTCCTCCTGAGGAGGCTATTCAACTATGTAAACCAGGCGTGCTTGAAGCAGAGACGTTGAAAACATGCGGGACCGAGCCCCTCGAGGACCAGGGTGGAACACCGCTGCCTTAAACACCGTTTCTATGATGGAGCGGTGGTTTTGACTTCCTGTCGATGTTTTTAGACACATTTAAAGCGGCGACTTTTCTCCAGCTCCTCACCTCCTCTGAGGAGACAGCAGTATTCCTTTAACCCCCTCCTCAAGTCTGCTTTTCACCTCGTCATCTGACCACCGACCCAGCTCCAGGGTTCGCAGGAAGAGAGGACAGAAAGGGACAAGTGCTGAGATTTATTGCGGCCACCATTTTGAGACTATCTGGGAGGGTTGGGAGCAGGAATCCTGTCAAGAGCAGCTTGATAGATTTGTCTTTGCTTTAATAATGTGGAAACAGTTCTCGGTTTCCAATGTTCCACCAAAGGCCAGTAAATCAAACATCCTCGCTGATGCATCAGAAAATAGTTGCTTTCTCCGCGGGGGACTTGTGTTCTTTTACAGGCAGATTGTCCACACATGCTTTTTCAGTGTAATTCAATGCTGCGAGCTCATCCAGCCTACCTTTACACTGATCAGTGTAAGTCCTCGGGTTGTGGTGGGTATTGCAGAGACATTTCTTTCTTAAGCCAGGGAGATAAAGGTATTACTCGGCATTACTTGGTTTTGTATAGGTCGTGTAAAGTGGAGTTGTTAAAGCGGCGAGGCTGTTGTGGACGATTACTCTCCCATAAAGCCTCGCCGGGTTTATGAGGAGCCGAGTCGCATCTCTTGACTGCAGGTAGAGACAGGTGCTCATCAGAGAGGAGTCGTTTTCTCGCCTAACGACATGCAGATTACGATTCCCTTCTGTGTAAATCAGTTTTAGAGGCAGCAGCAGACCCAGCCTGGCTTTTACCGCCCCCCAGTGATGTAGTGTTTACTGGTATTTCACCGTTGGTGCAGAGACCCTGAGAGGCTTCACGGCTTGGTCCGTTGCTCTTATTCCGAGTAAGATCAAATAGTCGGCAACACTTTGGTTTGGACACCTAGAAAGTGATTATATTTCAAAAGAAAAAAACAACTGAAATTCTTGATTGGATGGATGTTCCAGGGAATAGAAATGCTCCAGAGGTTCTTCTGTAGAAAGTGGTGGTTAGCGCAGCTGAAAAGTCGTTCTGTGATGTGATTTGCTGAGGCAGTCTTCCTCCTCTGCTGAGCCGGAGGACTTGGAAGCTTCAGTGCTTTGGCTGGCACTGCCAATACTTCATTATCGTCTCTATTCTTTGTGGGAGGATTGGACCCACAGGAGTTTTCTGGCCGTCTTTCTTATAGGAAAAACTCCTAAAAAAAAGAAATTCAAAGAAAATAAAGGGGCTGCGAGTACCTTGAATTTCAGTTAGAGCCGTGTAAATGGGTGGTGTCGGTAGACACACTACCTTTTGCAACCCCGCATAGAGGTCTCCATTAATCTGACTGAACGTCAGAGAAGTGGAAAGCTGGTGCAACTTCTGCTGTTGAGGGTGCAATTCCCCGAAGCCCCATCCAGTGGAGTTTTAACCGTCTCTGTCAGACTCGCACATCGGGGGAGGTTGGAAATCTTTAAGGGGGATTTCCCAGCATACATAAACCACGGCCTTCATTTTCTGCCCAATTTCAAACGTGTTACAGTTTATTTTGACGAGACGCCCCGTGTGAGTGAGGGACGCTCTCAGTTTTGGTGCGAGTTTGTTCCTTTAACTGTGAACGTCCCATTCTGTCCAGAATGCTTCCACTCATTCTGTATTTCATGAATCATCCTGCTAACTAATGTCCCTCTCTTGTTTTCTGAACCACCTTTAGCCTCACACCTCCCAGTTTCTCTGTTACGCCAGTCTGCTCAGTCACATCCCTCATTGTGTGTGTGTGTGTGTGTGTGTGTGTGTGTGTGTGTGTGTGTGTGTGTGTGTGTGTGTGTGTGTGTGTGTGTGTGTGTGTGTGTGTGTGTGTGTGTGTGAGGGAGGGATGGAGTGTGTCGAGCACTTGGGTTCATTCCACTTAAGCAAAGTCTGCCAAACCAGTCCCACTGAAAGCTGTCACATTAGCCGACTGTTCTGTGTTTTTGCTCGCCAAAGCGGCATATTTTTATTGGCAGACTGATTTTTTTATATTCTGAGTGCTGGCCCAGCTTTTTTATGTGCAGCAAAAAAAATCAAAGCACGAAGAAATACAGTAGCATATAGGCCAAGAGTCATATAGCATCTTCCTTATGTGTGTGTTTTCCACCCAGATACTCGATTATGGTCTGGCGTAGGCAAGTCGAGAAGCGCAGCGCTCCATCTAAGTGATATATGTTGGCGCACCGGTCTTTTCTTCAAACTACCACAAATTTTTAAACTGTGACAGCTGTGCATTTTTAAATTTGAATATTGCAAACTGTGCACACCACCAGGTGTTTCGTTCCGTGCACCGTTTTGCGAGATGTCACCTGAGGTGGTTCTGTAGCTCCGCACAGGTGCTCTCATTGTTCATCATCAAAAGAAGAGCAAAGTCAGTCATTGACAGTCCTGCTGTTCTACTGTGTGCATTCCTCCATGTGTGTGTGTGTGTGTGTGTTCACTTGTGCACGTGCGTTGGTGTGTGTGTGTGTGTGTGTGTTGAACTTGTGTGCTTGTAAGATGAAAGAGGCAGGCCAGAACAGAGTGACTTTCAGCAGAAGTCTACAAGAAGAGAAGAGGCCTGCAGCAAATGCAGAGTCATTTAGGGCTTTAAATAATGTCTGAGATCACTCAGTATCTTTGTCTAGATAGAAATCACACCACAGGTGTTCACTTTCAAGACGACATCGCTGTGAAGGTTACGGACACTCGGCTGTGGCAGAAGAAAAGAGAGTAATCCACATTTTCTCACCGATTCTCACCAACACCTTTGCTGAAACCGTCCCACAGGGTCCATGGTGAATGGGTGGGGCTCGGCCTCGGAGGAAGAACATAATTTTTCCAGCCATAGGTCCAGTCTGGGGAGTTCCTCCGATGGCTCCATCTTTACCCACTGCAGCTTTGCCCAGGCTCTGGTGGCTGCTGCAGACAAAGCAGGCTACCGTCTAGAGGGTACCAGCCTCAGCAAGAGAGGTTGGTGTGCCGAGACCCGACACCCAGCGCTGCACCGGGCCGTCTATCGGGGCAGATCATTTGTTACACTCTGCTTTAATTATTCCCACTGATACTTTCCCCCCATCGTGCTCCTGTTCCTTTTACTGCTCTTGGATACTGCACATGGGTTGTGCATGGTGGCTGCTCTGTAGGGCTACTCTCTGGGTATTTCCTTACGCTTTAGGTAAACTTAGCTAGCTCTTATCTGGCTTTCTTGGGTTAATGCAAAACATCAGGGTGGCATTTTTCATTTTTTTCCTTCTCAAGCTTTCTTTCCTGCTTATAGAAGCCTTTATCTTCCAGAGGTTTTTACAGATCTTGACTGATAACCTTTATCTTTTCTGATGGTGGTCTAGGCTCTGCCGTGAGGGCGTGGGCTCTTTCATGCCTTTATTAACCAGCTGCCTTGTGTTCCTCCTGCAGGTAAAGGCTTGTCCCACAGGCCCCGGCCCATCAGTCCATTTTCAACAGACGGCAGCACAGTCGGCACACACAGTCTTGGCCACCAGAGGGCCACCAGGCCCACACGCAAACCACGAAGTCAGGGCACAACACCCCACCGGAGAGACGCTGGTGCAGATGGTGAGATAAAATCTAAAGAGCTTTTTAGGACGTTTCCCCTAGAAATCCTTTACCAGTGCAAACCTTAAAAGATTGTATAGAGCTGTAACGTGAGCTAGTCATGGGATTAACAACGAGTTTGCTTGACACAGACCTACCTCCTCCCCCAGAGCCTCCTCCCTGGCAGGGGCAGGGCCGTATCCAAGGGGCCCGCAGTGTTAGCAGCATGGCACCACCTACTGATAAGAAAGCTTCTTCTCTGGAGCGCACACCTTTGTCAGGACCCTCGTGTGGGCCAGATGACATGAGGAGCTCCGTTGATAGGCAGATGAGGACCTCACTGGAACATCATCGCCAGGCTCAAGACAGGCTTGGCTCCGTGGAACGAGCAGAAGATGGACACTGGGGACACAAATCAGGTACGGATGATGCCTCAATGCTGAAAGCTCATTAGAAACGGGCTTAGTATTAAAGGGACTTTACAGAGTTTTGAATTTTTATGCTCGCGATTGCCCCCTCAGGCCAAAAGCGTAACGGCAGCTTCAATACTAGGCCCGTGCACGAGGCGCGCATGCTGTACGTGCACACTCCTTAACGAAAATAACAGCTGAGACAGTCCCGTGTGTGTGTGTGTGGGTGTGTGTGTGTGGGTGTGCGGGTGTGGGTGTGGGTGGCCCAGAGGACAGGAGAACACGCAGCTAATTAATTAAATAATTTGGTTCTGTACCTTTCTCTTCGGCACAGCCGACAAAGGTTTATGATGGGTCAGTCCTCCTGCATGCTCAGATCATTCCCTTCCCTTGCTTGAAAAATTGTTCCAAAAAAATTGTTCCAGGGCATTACAGGAGAATGTATGAAGAAGAAATGTATTATTTCTACACGTTTTGGCTGTCAAACTTCCATAATGCCCCTTTAAAGGAAGTAAACAACAGAAAGGTGGAGCTGCTTCTGGGCTTTGATGGTGGCACATTTCTCTCAGAGTTCCTGTGAATCGAGCTTTCATGCTGCTTCGAGACTCGGCTGCCGTGAACAGATTGCACCGTCTGCCGCTTGCTCTGGTTTCCCCCTCAGCCCTCCCTAAATTTTCCCATTGCCCCTGCTACTGTTGCCAGTATCGGCCTGTCCTGATCCAAATGAGGCAGGAGGCCTCACCAACTGATATGGACTCTAATGTCTTCAGCTTTTTTTTCCCTCAGACAACCAGCAGCCACACTACCCCCCATCTGCGTGTTTCTGCGTTCTTGCGTGTGATCGTTAGCACTCTCCATGCTGTGCTAACCGACATCTTTGTGCCAGGGCTTTCTCAGACAGTTTTCCTGAGAGACTGTGAGACAAAGACAGGTGCCACAGTCTGTGTTCTTCCAAAGTAAGTCCGCGGGTGAATTTCCTCATGCGTCAGGATCCTGATGGATATGCAGGAGAGTCATCAGAGGTCAGGGCGGGCTCCATTACAGTCATTAGCACAACAGCAGGAAGTGGTTTGATGAGGTTTTGAGGTTTGATGCAGACTGCTGAGGGTCAATGTTATGCTGCCCTGCAGCAGCCAGCGAACCCTCTGCTGTTGTATTTACCCCCTCATGCGTCCGGTCACTGGAAGGCCATGTGTGAAGCTGAGAGTCCTCTAAAAGGCACGCCCTTGTTGGCGGCGCCACTCTACAGATGTCAGGATGGGGAGTGCTCTCCATCTCGTGTGGAACAAAACAAATGACTCATCAAGCTTCTAAACGATCCCTGTTTTTATAGAGGATGGGTGCTTGCCATACAGCAGACCTTCCTTCCCATCACCTGGGGGTCACAGCTCATCTGGCACAGCCTCCTCTAAAGGCTCGACGGGACCTCGGAAGTCCGATGGTCCGCGACAGCCACAGCAGTGGACCACCACCGAGCACGCCGAGTTCCTGGGAGCCAACGGACAAGGACAGTACACAGGAGAGTTATGTGAGTTAAAAGTTTTCTGGTTTTCACAGCCCTGTTTTATAACCTAAGATCTGATAATGAAAGGAGGTCATGTTTTCAAGTGCAGCAATCATAAAAACACTCTTCATTGCCCTCCATTCTCTGTGGACTCTGTTGCTGGAGTCCTACAAAGTTTCCAAGATGTAATTTTGGTAAAGCTTTTATTTTCCTAAAGTCAATTCAAATAACAAACCTTTCTGATATTGACATTTTCACCAATATGCGATACATGTGACACTTGAAAAATTAGAATATTGCTCAAAAGTTCATTTATTTCAGTAATCCATCTCAGACTGAGATACTGTCAAAAGGCTCAGGAATCCTTTGCAGGTGTTTTTGGATTAATTAGCTGATTAGAGACACTTTGAGTCTAGAATACTGAACCTTTTTGTAATATTTTAATTGTCTGAGATTTTGGGTTTTCACAGGCTGTAAGCCATAATCATCACAATCATAACAAAGGCTGAAAAAGATTTGCATGGCATGACTCTGTCTCATAGATTAGTTTTATCCTTAAAGCTGAATTACTGAAATAAATTAAATGTCGCACAAAATTAGAATTTTTCAAGTTTTACCTCAGGTGCCCCCCCCCCAATAAAAAAAGAAAAACTAAATCATTTTAGGTAACTTGTATCATCTCCTATGTGGAACACTGAAAATTACTTTTTAATGATTAGCCTGGTCACGCTGAGTTTTTCATGCAGGTTGACCATGAAAATAGTCTCCTACACGTATCTCCTCAATTAGCTTCTGATAGAAAATAGACGGCGAAACTCTACGATTCGAAAATCCCGACAGATCTATGTCTCACTGTCACTTGACAATCATAGACTCATCCAACTTGACTCACGACGGGGAAGGCTGTTGTTGGTTTAGCATCCAGGAAACAGCAGAGAACGTCTCAAACAATCGATCAACTTTATTTATATTTACATGGCGCAAGGGCTAAACTATATAACTTATATAAAAGTGTTAGTTTTTATGTAAACCATTGGATGAAATTACACAAACTGACTGAGCTCTAGTTAAGGCGCTTGCAATAGTTTGTGTATGTGTGCGTGCGCGCGCGTGCGTGTGTGTGTGTATTTGTTTGGGGGAGGGTGCATTGGAACTTTGTCCCCCCAGTTTGAAAATCCTATCTGCGCCCCTGGGCATGACCAACCGTCCTTGCTCCACCAACCAAAGGGACCTTGATGGAATGTAAGGATGAATCATGATCAGGTGTTGGCTAGTAGAAGCTAATCATTAGCATTAGCATCTCCACCACCCAGCATAACTCCTTCATGCTTGTGTTATTTGTGGAGATAAAACATCCACGTTGCAGACCAAACAGAACCAGTGGTAGAGGTGAGATGTCCAAATATCAGGAAACATGACTCCAAATCCTGCCATCTGAAGCTCTTCTCTGATCTGGCAATATTTTAGATCCTGAAACAGGCACACCAGGGACACCTACCCACTCCACAAAACTATCAAATGCAGTTTTTGGTACACAGAGGGCTGCAGAGTGGTGTCAGATATGAAACTGGCCAAGTTTCTAACCCGACAATCACTGAGATCAATGTTAAAGCTCTAACTTAAAGTTTAAAAATGGTCTTCCCTTCCTCTCCACAGAGTGATTTCCCCGCTGTGTGAACTGGAAACTGCCCTCCCTGACGGGGCAATGAACTTTGACCTTAACCTGCGTGCTCTCTGAGAGGGAGGTGTTCGCAGAACGAGAACCGCATAGAGAAGCGGTGTCACAGAACTGTAAATGTGATGTAAAGACGCAGACATGCTGTACATCTCACTATGTTTTTGTCCTCAAGAAAATAATTTTCACCTCCTACCTTACTGTAATTTTCTTTTTTGTTAGAAAAAGTCAAGTAAAAAGAAAAAAAGAAAATGTCTGTATGAGATTTTTTTTCTTGTACCTGCCCTTATGGAAAAAGGGGGTTTTGTTTCCTGTAAATATTTTCTTTAACATGTTGTTGCATTGCTATGCAAACCTAACTGAGTTTGAGCTTTTTAATTTCCGAATACAGGAACAATTGCGTTTAATTTGGTTATTTGTATTATATGTGAATTAAGTGGCTTTTGTGCCATAAGATAATTGTTTTATAATCCATTGTTTGTTGATAGTTACCATTAATTATTATTATCATTATTATTATTTTATTATTATTAATAATTATTGTTTTTTGCACTGCAATTTTGGTGATAAGCACAAAAACATAGCTCCTGCTGACATGAAGAACCGGACGAATATGTGAAGAGGAGTTTCTGTACTGTAAAGTAAAGAGAAGAAAATATATTCTAGTGTACAGAGAGATATTAAAGAGTTAAGCTTTTCTCACAGACAGCAACAAATATGGTGCCCGTTTTCACAGCTAAGACGAATTTGGTGGCATACACACGAAGTCCTGGGGGTGTGATGGGCAGAAATGAGGCCAGCTGACGGAAAACGAATTCTGTCCTAACTTTCTGTCCCACAATAACAGTCTACGGTTTAGACAACAATCTTAAAGGGTTTACATTGGATTTTTATGTTTTTACTTCTTAAATAATTTTTCAAACCTTGAGTTTATGCTCCTGTTAAGTAAAGAGACAAATTAAACATCCAGATGCAAGAAAGGGTGTTAAAATTCTGTAGATAAAGTACAATGCGTACAATTTTTACGATGAAATAATAACTAAACAGTCTAATGTCTCAATTGTGTTGAAAGGGTGGTTACACTGAAACAGATGTTAGTCTCAGCCGGCTGGGGTTTTGTCAGTTTTTCTGCTTTCCAAAAGGCTAAAGAGGGATATAGTCTTTGTTTACAATCTGAAAGCCTGTGGAGTTGTCGAGTCTGTACGAGCTAATGCTGCTGCACCGGCATTGTTATTCCACACCAGCAGGCAAAAAGCTCCAAAGTTGTTTGAACATTGGAAGCCAGTAAACAGAAGTGAACCAGGCGTTATTTCTTGCACCCTTGAGAAGCCACGGCATCTTTTGTTTTACTCTAATATCGGGTAAAGCAAGCTAGTGGCTAACGTTGAGCTAACGGTGAATTAGAAGCTTACAGTCTAAAAAAAATCTAAAGCTACTTTTTCAGTTAGCAACAACTCGATATTACAGTGAAATGTATTAATCTACTCACCAACTTACTGTGTCTGACTCGTCATCATCATCTAGAATCTTCTGGTGCTGATTCTTGGCAGGCAGCAGCCACAAAACTCACGGAACGGGAGTGGGAAAGTTAACTCGTGTGTTTTGAAAATGGGCTGCAGTAACCAAATTTGACCACAGGATGTCATTCCTTATTTTTTCTTACATAATGTATCTTTAAAGCACTTAGAGGCAAAGAAAATGGTTTTATTGTAATTGGTGGCAATAAAACTTGTTAATTTACTAAAAATATCAGTGAAGCCGTTTGAATTGTGGTTATTTTTCACAGGTCCTTTGCTTTTAAAAGCACTTATAATTGAATGCCTTTATTATCTGTGGCAGCCTTTTGAGTCATCCATCTGTTGGATCTAGATGGGTTCATTAAAACAAGATCTTTTAAACTCTGTTGTTGAAACTGAACTTTCAGCACTGTCTCGTCTCAGAAACTTTAAAAATGCAACTCGTGCTGTAGCTTTCATCAGGAGAGATTACAGAGAAAAGCCATGAGTGTTATTAGCCAACGGGTCCACTGCCTCCATGTCTACAGCCACAGTGTGGGGCGAAACACTTTCTATCTGCCTGACTGCCACAAAACACTCGTATCATCCGACGCTTTCCTCTTCACAGCCTCTGATTAGATTTTTTTTTAAATCATTTACAACAGTGTCCTTTTTTAATGCAAAGCTTGTTTCTTTGCATGCCTTTTATGGACTCCCGAGACGCTGCTCACAATGTTTTCAATTGTAATGTTCAAGATTTTAGTGGTTTAATGACAGTTTTGTCTTTTCTTTTTTGTACTGCTAATGTCGATGGGGGTGGGGAAACTAAAGGCCATCAAATGCTGTCATATTGTTGTCGTCATGCCATCCTCTTTATTTTATTTTAAACCATCCACCCAGTGGCCAGTGTTCTGGAAATGAGGTGCAAAGAGTATCTCAGGTTATTTTACATTCTGGTGGTTTTATGTATGTGTATATATGTGTATATATCCACACACAGCTCCACTTGACTATGCCATTCCATTTTCATTTCCCTCTCACGTTGGATTCTGTCCCCCCTTTTTTTTTGTTTTTTTATTATTAATAATTTATCTGCTGTGGATTTTGATTCTCATTACAACATGCTGGTTCATCCACCTTGAGACAAGATGTCAGTAAAAGAACAAACCAAATTGAAATGGATATTTCTAATGTCTAATGTGTCTCCCATTGTTTTGCTTTAAATCACAGTGTCGTTTTGTATTTATTAAAATGATAATAAAGGTATATTGTGAAATATGCATAAAAAATTTGTGAGATAAAAATGTGTTTTGTTGCTTGTTATTCTTTTTTCTTTATGTTTCTTGTGACCTTTGGTGTCAGACCAGAATAGCGAGGTCAGAAGGAGGATGACGGGCACGCCGTGCTCTCAGCACGGCGTTGTGCCGAGTCAGCGGTCGTCGGAGACACCCTTTGTCTTGCATGTTCACCACACTGCTCTTATGTCAAAACTAAAGAAACTTTTCAACACAAGGAGTAAAAACACTCCATTTGTGTTGTATCCTTTGTCCCAGTAATTTGAGAGGGGTAGGTGGTTGCTTTTGAGCTAAACTAAGAAACTGAGACGCAGCACACGTCTATGCTCCATTTTGTTTTATTCAAAAGAACCCAGAAACTTCTCTGCGCAGGCGCAAAATACAGCTTTTTGTCCAGCCAAAAGTAATCGATCACACAATCATCGAGCGCCCAGTACTCTGTCAGATAAACTGCAAAAATAACATATTTATACTTTAGTACTGTATTTCTCTATGCAATAACAACCATGACAACAATAATTATAAAATATTGTATGGCTCCTTTTTAACAGTATAAACTGGTCTCTTGAACATATACCTTTTTGTAGCCTATAATCTGTCACAATACTCCCCCTCAAAATAGATGTTGTCCCCAACATCAGGACATGAACCACACAATAAAACTTGTGGCATTTCAATCGACTACCGAATACAGTCACAGACCGCACTGCAGATATTTATTGTCCCAACAGTCAATGACACTATGGAGAACAAACACATCACACTTAACACGTAAAAAAATGAGAAGTAAAAAAAAAAACCAGTACCGTACCATCACAGCCCAACCATAAGATGTGAGGCCGGCAAAAGTATAGCCCTTAAACATATGGATGTATACTGTATACCCACAGCATGCTCTGTTGCGGGTATTAAGGCAAAGACTGTATGCAATAACAAATTGGTGTACCCCTATGTATCATAAGTGAATACTTTAGGTTTTCTACAGTCACGCTTGGGTCTTTGAGTCACTCCATGGGCAGGTTCATCGAAAGAAGACGAAAAAGGCAAGTGAGAAGAAGGAACCTCAAGAGGCTGAACCTCAACCTGACCAATGTCATCTTTGAATGGTTGGTCAGCTTCTTTAGCTCCAGGTTCTGCCCTCCTCAGCTCATCCACAGGCCCATTGTATTCCTGGTGGGCCAGTCCTAAGGTCTAGGCTGGCTGTGGGGAATCAGAGTTTGAACGTGGACAAAGAACCGGATAATACTCATTGTCCTCGTCGGAGTTGGCCTCTGGTGTCTCAGATGACCTGGCAGAGTTTGGCCGAGACTGCAAGAGAGTTTCCAATGGCAAAAAGTCACTTGGCAGTAAGAGATTTCGATGCAAAGTTCTAGACCTGCCTTCTCCCTTCTCAGGTTTCAGTTCATAAACAGGAATGTCTTTACTCACTTGACGGACATCTGTATGAATAACATCCTCCCAATGATTTCACAGTTTGCCTGTCCCCCCACGTGGAGTCAAGTTCCTAACTAAAGCGCGACCACCACGCAACAGGGCAGAATACCTCACCGTCCTGTCATACAGTTTCTTACTCCGAACAGCAGCTTTAGCCACATTCTCCTGAGTGATCTCATATCTTTCATACCCTGCCTCCACCTTTGCATGCAGCTTTGATGGTCAATATGACCCTGGTCTGTATTTGGAGATGAACTGAACAACATGTCCACTGGTAACCGCGGTGACCGTCCGTAAAGCAAGTAAAAGGGAGAAAACCCTGTCACTCCACTCTTCGTAGCATTATATGCATACACCAGTTTATTCAAGGAGTCTTTCCAGTTACCCTTCTGTTTCTCCGTGAGTGTTTTCAACATCTGAATCAAAGTCCGGTTAAATCGCTCACCTTGCCCGTTTCCCTGTGGGTGATGAGGGCTGGTTCTCGACCCTGTAACCCCACAGTATTTCTGCAGTTGCGCAAAAAGCTGATTCTCAAACTCACCACCTTGGTCGCAGTGAATTCTCTGGGGAAACCCAAACTTCAAAGCATAGTCATTAAAGTTTTTGTCCGCTGCCGTTTTACCAGACTTGTTTGTGGTGGCATAAGACTGAGCAAAACGCATGAAGTGGTCCACAATAACAAGTACATATTCATAGCCACCCTTACATTTGTCCAAGTGTAAGAAGTCCACAGGAACAAGTTCAAAAGGCTGAGTGACTATGTTTGTGAGTGGAGCTCTAATCTCATGACACGGTTTCTTGGTTTTAAGGCATACACAGGTTCTCATCACATAGTCCTCTATTTCCTTTTGCATGAAAAGCCAGTAAAAACAGTCCCTTACCAAGGAAGTGGTCCTCTCTATCCCTTGGTGGCCCATTTCATCATGCAGTTCTTTTAACAGTCACTTTGTGTTTTTCTGGTAGCACTAGTTGTCTTCTGTGTGTTGTCTACACAAAACACCCCTGTCTTTATCCCACTCCCTGAAAAGACACACATGTCGTGGACAGTTGCTTCAGCTCTGTACCTTAGGGTTTTTTCTCTTCCAACTTGTATTTAATAAACTCTCCAATAATGGGATCAGTCTCCTGGTCTTGTTTGAATTGTCCTACAGTTAATGGAGCTATAGACGTGTTCATTGACCCTGTGGCACATTCAACTGAAATACCCATAGACCAGGCTGCACTAGCCTCATCCTGATGGTCCACAGCTTGTGTGGCTGCACCCAGAGCATCATTTGACATTTCTTTTGAACATTCCTTCATGTAAGTCTCCATGTCTAAAGGCATTCTAGACAGACTATCTGCATCGACGTTTTCTCTACCTGCACGATACTTTACTGTAAAGTGGAAATCAGCAAGTTCTGCAACCCACCTACATCCATGTGGCATTCAGTTTAGCTGTTGACAGAACACAAGTAAGAGGGTTGTTGTCACTAAAAATGGTAAACAAGGGGGCATAGTACAAGTAATCACAAAATTTTTCCGTGATCGCCCATTTAAGAGCCAAGAATTCCAACTTGCCCGTCAAAAGAACACATTATAGTTTTTTTTCCAACCGCAGTTAGAGTTCTGCACCCATAAGCTATAACCCGAAACTTGCCATTTTGCCTTTGATACAATACAGCTCCTAGCCCCAATTGGAGGCATCTGTATGTAAAATAAAGGGTTGTGTAAAGTCCGGAAAACCAAGAACAGGAGGCTGAACTAAACACTAACTGATGCTCTGCACTCCATCGAATAGGAGTACTCGAAGACACGCTAATGGTCTGTTTTTTCCTTTTTTGAATGTGTTGTATAGTCTCAGTCTGCAAAGGGACTTTGAACAGGTCATACAATGGGCTAGCAATACAGGAGAAATCCTTAATGTACTGCCGGTAGTACCTTAACAGTCCAAGTATTGCCCCGAGTTCCGCAACAGTACTGGGCTGTTTATTTTTCAGAGCTCGTACTGCTGCTGTGTCTGCTGGGTCTATTTTATTTCCCTCAGCAGAAACAATCCTACCGAGGTATCTTACCTCTGATTTTAAAATGTCACATTTACATGCTTTGAGTTTTATGCCATAGTCTCTTAGTCGATATAATACTCTCCTGACATCCTCAACGTGTTCCTCAAAGGATCGACTGAATACGAGAATGTCGTCAAGATAGGGAACACATATCTCGTCCCGCAGACCCTCCAGGCATTGCTCCATATTTCGCTGGAATGCAGCTGGTGCGTTCATTAGGCCAAAGGGAATCCTAATCCACTCGTAAAGGCCCCAGGGGGTCACAAAGGCAGTTAGATGTCTACTATGTTTGGACATAAACCCCTGGTGATACGCCTTGCCTTGGTCCAGCAGGAAGAAGATGGTGTTACCCCCCAAGTTGTCCATTACATCCATACCCGGGGTATTGGGTGCCGGTCGGGGTCTGTCTTACGGTTCAGCTCTCTATAATCAATGCATAAGAGCATCGAATCATCTTTTTTTTCTCACACAGACTACAGGGGATGAACAGGAGGCGGTAGACTTTTCCACCAATCCCTGTGCTATCAAGTCCTGTAAGTAGTCCTTCATCTCCCTATACAAGGGCTTAGCTAGAGACCGATATGTTTTTAAAACAGGCTCTGTGTCCTTTAATAAGATGTCCATTTGCAAGCTCTCCACACATCCTATGTCATCATCTGTTAGTGAAAAAGATGCACATTCCTCTCTTAACATCTGCTGAACAATCTTTTTTTCATTTTCATCCAGATTAGACAAGTCAACGGGGGGCCCATTGTTCACTGGTGGTGCATTCTGTAGTATTCTGAACCAATGTCTTATTACTGCATTAAACCAGATGTGTCTTTTGAAAATGTCAGCAGGATAGGCAGACCCCACTGACTGCACAGTTCCCACAAGGGTTCACCCTGGCAATGTGTTGTCATGGCCGGTAGGGTTTTGTGCACCAAGAAAGGTCTTGGGGTCAGTGGCGTGTCCAGATCTTTTAAAATGGGGGGCCCAGGTGAGGCACAACTTTGTGCATGGGTGGCACCAATGGTTATGTTTTTTTTTTGTTTTACCCCCAAGCCTTTTATGGACAATGAAAAGCCTATTTAAAGGTAATTTAGTGTGGTGGCACCTGGGGTGGCCAATCAGATTCCAAGGATGGCATGTGCTACCCAAGGCCACTCCCTGGACACGCCCCTGCTTGGGGTGGACCCCCCCCCACCCCCCCACCCCCCACCCCCTTACTGAGACTGATGTCTCACAAAACTCTAGACCATCTGACCACTGAGGGTTTTCACAAGGCTCAAAAATCAGAGCAATGTTGTCTTCAAATGCTTTAGTCTGCACCTTACATTCAATAAGCACTGAACTCTGGCTGGGCACAGTCACTTTGTTGTGTTTACGTTATACTCAAGATTTTGCCCCATAGTAACAGCTTTTATGAACATTGCAGCTTTTTTTTCTCTTCAGATGTGGGAAAGCTAATGTCACTGCACTCAAAAGTTTCTTTTTCCCCTGAGTAATTCCCATCTTTTGTATTTTCTGAAACCAAG